GTCCAAAAATTTATTTAGTGAATAAGTTTAGTTCCTCACCCTAGTTTATAAACCATATTTAGTCCTAGTCAGTAGGTAGGTATTCTCAAGGTCACTTTAGCATCGCTAAAACGTCATCCATAAATTATAGTCTCATCAAACATTCTCCTAAAGAATAGGCAATTGAAACTATGATCTATCTATCTATCTCTCTCTAAACATGACTTTGAAATCATCGACATAGAATGCTTTCTTAGTTGTTATGTCTCTTGATTATCCATCTATAGGTTGGAAATACAAATCACATTCTGTGAACTATTGTTTAGACAGTTGGATTTTTGGCTTGCGCTTAAATATATATTCATCTGTACTTGATTCATAACTATAAGTAGAAATCTATGACATTCTGTGGAATAGTCTCCACTCTAATCAATACTAAAATATTAAGATTTCCTTGTAGGTGAATTATTTGTAGTTGTAAATATTACTTATTAAATTTCAACATACCGTTATGAAAGTATCCCTTTCACTGTGAAACATCCTGTGAATATCCTCAGGTTCATATTATCTACATCAAACCGTCTTAGTTATTAAGTGGACACTTTCAAGGTCACTTTGGCGTCACTCAAGGTCGTCCATAAAGTATAGTCTCATCATAAATTCTTTAAATTCACTTGTATTGACCTTGATCGTGATTGGCCATTAGCATGAATTCAATACGTGTGACCTTGGAGCTATACATTTAATCAATAATCGGATATTAGAACGAGTTATCACGTGTTCTTTACATGTGCATTCCTAAATGAGATGAGTAAGACATGACTATAATTCCATTAATTCTTATTTAAAGAAAAACCAATTTCATACAAAATCTTGGAAGTTTCTTTGGAAATTAACTAAACTTGATAAGATTATTCATTGAACCATCTACTAACTGATTTGAAGGTAAGTAGTATGTTCAGTTGATATAAGTCTTTTATATATCAAAGTTGAAATCTTCAATACGAACGTGAAGATAGTCCTACTGTACGGAACTGAAACATGAAGAGCTATCATGATAAACATCATCAAGAAGGTTCAAGTAATTATAAATAGGTGTCTACGCAAGATACAAAATATCCTTTGGCAGATACCATCAGCAACAGCTTACTGTGGCAGAGAACAAACCAGCTTCTATATGAAGAGGAGATTAGAAAAAGATGATGAAATGGAATAGGATATGCATTACGCAAATCATCAAACTGCATCACGAGGCAAGCCTTAACTTGGAATCTTGAAGGGAAGCGGAAAACAGGAAGGCCAAACAACACATTACGTCGGGAATTGGAAGTAGATATGAATAGGATGAATAACAACTGGAAAGAGTTGGAGAGTATTGCCCAGGATAGGGTTGGATGGAGAGTGCTGGTGTTGGGCCTATGCTTCTCCACGAGGAGTAACAAGCGTAAGTATATATATATATATATATATATATATATATATATATATATATATATATATACGACTAATAGGTGACATGTTTCTCCAGTTAAAATGTCTTTCTACTGTCTTAACACAACAATGAAGATTCATATGGTCAACAAGTATCCTATCGACTACATTTTGTTGTAACTTCTTGTTGCTGTGTTTTTCTCTGCTTAGGTTAAGAATGCAGATGAAGGAGGACTGAATATATTTACACAATAATTTAGCAACCTACTTGGACATTTGGGTTACTTATATTCTCACTGTACAACTATTACAATTGACTTATATAGTTTGAACTAAATAATTATAAACGCTAACTGTATGTGGTCACATGCTATTATAAGAAGGATTACAAATTGTTGCAATGTTATGTATTGGAAAACTCAAGTAAAAACATTGAAGTTCGTAGCATATTCTCCTCTTTATTAATCCTGTAAAGAGATGAGGGACAAATATTGTTGAAATTGAAGGATCTCTTAAGCATTAATGGAAGAAATACTTGTGTAATGAACGAGACCACAAGTGTAGTTCAATAAGAAATTACAAAACATTTTAGTAAAATCTAAGAATAATACAGTAAAGACTTTATTTGTATAATGTCAATCAATCGTCTCAGACTTCACTGTTCCTACATTTCTTTCTGTTCCCGTTCTATTCTTCTTGATCTTCTAAATCTCTTATCGCCAGACATTATATTTCTAACTCGCGTTATACGCTACTTATATCGATATAAGTAGCGCACATTACACTTGTAGTATCAGCTGAACTGATATAAAACTTTATTGATTAAATACGACTGCCTGATACTGAACGTTAAAAACACTAATATGTCTTGTATACTTAATGTAACGGAAGTTTCAGCATCGAATAAGGCTATTATTATTATTATATAACGTTGCGTCATTTATAAATGTATGGCGGTCCAATCCCATTGAATATCGATCTTTGTCACACATCAAGTGAGGTGCATAGGTTTTGATTAGAATAAAATTAGTGAATATTTTAAAACAACCTATTTCCAGCTTTATTTTTCAGTTTACATTAGTTAAATTGAGTGTACTTATGGTTAGTTGATGAGCCGATTTAAAGGTAGTTAGTTGTTCATACTGATTATTACGTGAGATTCGGTGTTGTTAAGTCTTTCGTTATCTGAACCAGATACATCTTTATTGCTAGGTGTTATTCAAACTGCTATATACTGAGAGGCCGCCGAGTAAATGGGCAGTGAGTTTCGATCAGACCAAGGACGCGTAGAACACGTGCGAACGGCCTACAGTTCTGATTGGCCCTGCTTTCCGCCTAGCCCATCCAGTTAAGTTCAGAACACCGATCTCAGCCTCGGCGATACGAATCATTATATTTCAAACATACTGAGTTTATATACCAATCAAACAGACCACAACGTAGCACAAAATAGAAAATAACATTTGTACAAAATTTGGCCAAATGCGGCTGTGAATGAGGGAGGTAGTGATTAATAGACAGGGCATAATTCAAGAACAGTAAATCGTATAATCATGGTTCATAGGTCAAAATAAAGCTTATAATAAGAGGAACATGAATATGAATAGTTTAGTTATTTAACAATTATACGATAAAAATATACGTTTATTATTAGTCCATAAATGGATCCCCAAATTACCATTCATTATTCTTGTCGGAACATAGCACAAACACTTTACCTTACTCAACTAATCCCCAAAACCAGAACACGGCTTGGACATGTATGTAATTCTGTCCTAAATAAACTAAGTATGTTAATCATTTAATACAAAAATATTCTAGAGTCTTCTCCAATTACCCACTAACTCTGATTGACTAATAATAGGCTACTTCTTAGTAAACCAAATTCTTTATCATTACTGAGAATATATGAAGAGAAATGGATGGAATTATTCACTAATGATTCAAAGTTTTCTAGAAACACTTATTCTCTACAGAACTGCATATGATGAAGTATTTGTTATAGTAAACGAAAGTACAAAAGGTTAGTAATAAGGATTTAAACCAGAGTGGAAGGTCTCTATTTCAAGAGTCATAGTAACTAAGAAACGATAGATTTTATCTAGTTCACACATAGCTCTTAATATATCACATTCTGTCTATCACTCCGTTTTAAATTTCACGCTAGAATCCAAAATGCATCATCTTAAATCTAGTTGGTTTGTTGATACAGTTTACTTGTGATGAGATACTTGAGATTATGTTTTTGTTAAAATGATCGAACTCAAGTGTCCATAAAACCTGAAAAGATATCATGAACTATCAGTTGTTTATAAATGTTGTTGAATTTGACGATTTACAAAATGAACTGAACTGAGTAAGACCACTGAGCTAAAGAAAATCACAGCATAAATGCTCGGCACTCTAAAGGTTAAGTAGCCACCTTAAGTTTTGAAGATTCTTTGTTTGATCACAGGTTCTTAATGCTAATGAGTCACATACAAGCTCTTCGGAACATCTTTATTTTCGATAATTGTCTAACTACGATTATAATCACAGAGGGGTGTTATGGACATTATAGTAATTGAATAGTTGAATTCATCAATCAATTGAAATTAGACCACCATCGAAAGCCTGGAAGCACTGGATTACCGTTTCGGCTTACTATGACACTATGATTTGAAATATACTTAATTCTTCATAATGAAATTTGAAATGTGAACACCATCAGATGTTTTCAGATAATAATAAATTCACTTGGTATTGCTTTACTTGTATCTTCTCATTGTTATTTAGGATTACAATTGATCAGTCTCATGTTGGCATATGTGCATCCTGTGCGAATTGACTCGACATAGCCTTAAGTCACAAGCTTTTTTAAGCAAAGATGAACAATGACTAGCAGAGGAATCCAGTTTGAAGCGCATTTCGTCCTATTTAGGCAATCTTCACAGGAAGCACATATACCAACATGTGACTGATCAATTGTAGTCCTAAATAACAATAGGAAGATACAAGTAAAAGAACATCAAGTGAATTTAGACTTCACCCCATTGCACAAGCAGGTGGCTATCAGGACTCAGTAGCTAAGTAGCGTTTGAAGCGAACAGTACTGGATTCGAGTCCCAAAGTGAACATCAATTCTGGGATGCAGTTACATCCAATTGACGAGTCTCAAATAGGACGAAACGCGCTTTAAACTAGATTTCTCTACTAGTCACTATCTCCATCTTTAATATTCACCAATATGAACTGTTATTATCATCATTTAAAGTACACAAGATAAATCTTTATCAAATTACATTGTATTTTGTTTGAATAGAACAACAACAACAACAAAAAGAAACGAAAGAAAGAAGAAAACTGTATTCATATAAGTATTACTTCTAATTTATACTTTTATTTTCATTTAAGGTTCAATTATAATTTACTTCAAATCATGTGATAATAATAAAACAAATAGATAACCAAATACAACTCAGTTAATACATAAGTGTACTATTATAATGAAATGATTAGTTAAATCAATGTGTCGAAATACCTTTGTCTATATATAATATGTCTGTTCATTGAACTATTCAATATAATAGTTATCATTTATGATTTAATCAGAGAATACTTGATTAGATCTTTTGAATTGTCAAGAAGATATCTTATTGAATGTGTTCTCTTTAATCTCGAATATCATTGATTATCATTATCATTTATAAAGACATTACATAAGATATTACATTGTTATGTAATCAAATAATATTTTACAAATTGAATCATTTTGATTAGATCTTTTTATCAATTGTGAAGAATGTGTTAGCTTTCATCTCCAATCTCATTCATAAGATGTTCATTATATCAAACTAATGTGGAATCATGTATTATTCATTGGATTATATATAGATATTTATATCTATTAAATTGTTTGATTAGTCAATGATGAAAAATAAAAAGAACCCGGTAAGTAATGAATATGATTGATTGAGAAGTTTAGGCTGATATGTTTTGTTGTTTCTCTCAAACTTTTTAATGATCATGAATTTGCTTTCTCAGTATAAGGTTGTAGAGATTATTATGTTATTGATTGAGATCAAGAACCGATTGATATTTATTCATTTATTTATTTTAACACATAGGTATTGGTACAAGGAGGCACCAAATACATATGCACCACACGAATCTCAATTGATTTGTGTGAGGGCTGTGATACTGCCTGGGTGCCTAAACCGAAGCAGGTGGTTTTCTTAAGGGGCCACACCCCGAGCCTTCTACCTGAATATCTGATCCACAAGGCAGTGGAGCATCGTAAGGAGATGCAGTCCCATGGTACCTGGTGACCAACGATTGGTTCATATGCCATTTGTTCCTTCAGGATACTGGAGTCAGCCCATGTGCACCATTGGTTTGGGATTCGGTTAAAGCGCCGGACATTCACTTTTCATCCTCTCATTTTCGTAAACAACACCCCCGCCACGTGAAGGGCAGTGAGTAGGACTTCCCTGTCAGAGGCTGTTTACGCGTGGCCGTGTAAGAGCATTTCGAGAGGGAGAGTGTACTCTCCCCACTCTTGGCCGTACCAGGGCATTTGGGGGCACCGATTTATGTAAGACTACTATTGAAAACCTAGAAGCACTGAACGGCCGTAAGGGAATTCTCGCAGTTTTACTGGGAAGTCGTGGTTAGTGGAGCTAATCCGTGTCGGATAGAGACAGGTATCTACTTCAGTAAAATGAAAGATGGTTGCACAATTTGAGTTAGACATTAACACCGTTAGATGGCGGCCCAGTGGTCTAGTTGTTTGAGCGCTCGCACATGAGACTGAAGGTCTTGGGTTCAAATTCTTCGAGAAGGATGGATGCGCACTGTTGGAGGGTCCAACAAAAGGACGAAACGTATTTCCAGGTTGTCAATGGTGGTCTAAAATCATTTTTTAAAACTGAGGCCCACTGTGATATTTGCATCCGCGTTACATATGTTTCGATAGAACAATGAGAAGACGGAGTTGATCTGAAAATTGGTGATATATTTGCCCTACATACATTTCGAACAATCTAGTCACATATATACACCTGTTAGGGCATTTTTATATGAAAATCAAGTTCAAGTAAAAAAGGTAACAAGGAGGAGAGAAACAATTTTACATCGTATAGAATCTGAATTTCACCCCATTGCACAAGGTAGTGGTTATCAAGATTCATTAGCTAAGTGGATAACGCGATGGCGTTTCAAGCGAACGGTAATGAGTTTGATCCACAGAGTGAACATCAACTCAGGGATGCAGGTACATCCAGCTGACGAGTCTCAAATAGGACGAAACGCGCTTCTAACTGGATTCCACTGATAGCCATTATAATGCTTGTGAATTAAGGCTATATCGAGGCAATACGCACAGGATGCACATATGCAGTAAGAGACTGATCAACTGCAGTTCTACACAACAATGGGAAGATTCAAGTAAACAATACCAAGTGAATTTAGAATAAGGAATTGTCACGTTATCCTAGGCCATAAAACGACTTAAGGATTACAAGGGTAAATTCAAGGTCAAGACTAATTGTCTTTGTACATATAAGGAGGAGTTGAATTTACGAACAACCAAAGCTTCTATAAACTTAAGAATTCGTCCTTGACAATTTCTATACAACGTTTTAAAAGCTGTATTAATGTATTGATTTTGTGCCCCGTTTCAATTATGTTTCACTATCAATGAACATGGTTTTCTGCCTTCCACGTTGATCGGATCATTGGAGACTAATTGGTTTTGAAACCATCTAGGCACATGTTCAATGACCCTTGTTTGCATTGTTCAATTACTCCTCCCTATGTATGTGTGTCCACACAAACATGTAAATTGGTAAATAAGATGTTTGCTAAGATGTTATTCACTGAGGGTTGAGTCCCATAAGGAGTATCAGTTTCTTTACGATTATAGTTGTGACTTGCTGGATAATACCAACTAATGTCGACTACTCACGTTCCAAAATTGTTGTTCGTTGACGACTGAACTTAATGATTTTGATTTGACAACTACTTAAAACCAGAAAACACAGGATAATTGTTCCATGCTTCCATGTTTTCAACACTTGTCAAATCATGATGTAAAATGGAAATGTCTGTTGGAAAGCTGAAATAAGACTTGTTAAACTAGAGTATAGAAACGAGTCAATATTGACATTAAAATGGCATTGAAGCAAATTTTCAGCTATTCAACAGACAGTTTGTCAAAATCAAAAATGTTTCACAACAACATTGATAAACCCCTATTGAAGTTTATTGGTTTTACGAAGTTTATAAGTTATCCAAGGCTTATTGTCGTTTTTTTTGTTGAATTAGTTTTCTATGGGATGGGGTCGATAACGCCACACCCAATCCTCGGCCTTTATCCGGGATTAGAACCGGCAGTAGCCCCCGAGGGGCTTCAGGCAGACATGTCGCTACACAACTTCATTTATCCTTATGTTAGTATATTCAGGCTAAAAGTAAATTCTTTGTCCTTTTGTCACCCATTGACCATTTTCTAGAACATGTATCATTGTCTATAACGTCCATTGAAGGGTTGGTGAAATAAAGTTTTCAGATGACGATGTGATAACTTGATGTTTGGAAAATGTTATCAACAGTAGAATACATACTTCATCGGCTCTTCTATTATTCAACAAACCACTGATGAAGCGATTTATTTAAGAGTTTACTATAAACAACACTAGCTGAAATAAACGCTGGTCGATCTATGTGTTAAGCATAATCTCAACAGACAGTAGTAAACATTTGACGTGCTTTAGTGAAAAAAAATCTTGATGCCGAAAACTCAATGGTTTACAATGGTTGTGTATCTGAAATCAATTCAGGACGTAAATTGTCTGCAAATTGAATAGTCTTCACAAATCGCTTATTCTAATAGCATGATTTGTTGATGAGTCTCTATAGACTAGAAAGCATTAGTACGTCAGTTACATTTTCCTCATTTCTGACAGTTTGTTCTACGACACGTTGATGATTTTCACATGGATTGAACCCAGAAACCACATCAATACTACTGTAAGCAAATGAATGCTTAAATGCTATGAAATACCTTGTACGATGACTAAGTGATGTATGTAGAAAAAACGAGAAAAACTACAGAATGTATCATGGATAGACAGCAGGTCAAATACGAATGTAGGCGACCTCTTATGAAAAGATTATTCACCTACCCATGGTCATCCAGTAAGTCCCTTGTTTCAGTCATTCCGAGCACAAAGTTGCAATTAATTTGAAGGACCTTTTATCAAAAAACATCTTTGTATTTTCTATCTGCTTAATTTGGTCGAATAGGCATTAAGTGCTTGTATTCAAGCTGAGCTAAACATCAGACTATCATACTACAGTTGTTGATTTTCGTTCAGTCACATTCTTTCTTGTAAGATTACTTCTATTTCTAGTTCTATTATTCTCTAATACACACTAAATTTAAGGACATGTAATTTGATTTCGGATGAAATCAGTAGTATACATTGCTGATAAATCTCAACATGGCTCTCTATGAACGTTGTAATCTATGAATTACAGTTGTAATTTGATTAATAACTCACTATCAAGCATTATAAACAGTCCAAAATGCCCTGGTTTGGTCGAGAGTTGTGGGAATTCGCTCTCGCTCTTAACATGCTCACGCATGGCCAAGCGTATGCAGCCACTAACAGGAAAGTCCTGCCCACTGCCTACTCGCGGTGGGGATGTTGTATATCAAGTTCAGAGGACGAAAAGCAAATACCAGCGCTTGAATTGACCTGGTGGGTACAGAGTATTCACCTGATGGAGTTGGAAAACTCTTATTCCAAAACGATGGTGTACATGGGCTCCAGGAACATGAAGGAAAAATTTGCGTATGAACCTTGTCTTGCTCACCGGTTGCAATAGGATCGCACCACTTAACGTCGCTCTGCTGCTCAAAGATTGGGAGAGTGGTTCTCTAAAAAAACTACGTGCTTCGGTTCAGGCACCTTGACAATATCCCGGCCCATGCACAAAATCAATGATTTATTGTATGGTGCATATAAACTTTTGTCCCTCTTTATACCAATGTTCATGTGTTTAAATTAGTCAATCGTTCACAAGCTCGAATCTCGAAGACAGCCAACCATATTAGTTTAATATTCAGCCGGTCGGCTTCGGATAATGCAATCTGGATAAGGTTACTGAAGAATCGGAAATTTCCTTTTATTCAACCCGTAGAAATGTTGGTTATTTTTCGAATTACTTACTCAACTCAAAACTTCTCAATTGCTGTATCGTCAATATTTTCAACTTGTAAGTTCGCCTATATCAGACAGACGTGACGATCGAAAATTGACTCCTTTCACTTTTAAAGTCAAACTTTAGTCTATTTAATAAATTCTTAACTCTACAATATGACCTTTGTTTCACATTTTCTGACTCCGATCAGTTTATTCATGGGACGTTTGTTTAGTTATCTTTTCAAGACCATTGTCATCTAATTTAATTTCCTCTCAATGAAATATACCATTCAGAGGTCATTACTTCGTTAGACTTGATCCAAACTAATTATATGAGCTTATTAAGCAAATCAGAACACTTCCTTATGTTTTAGGCTTTTCACTTGTGGTTGGCATTTTTTTGGCAAGATTTATTTCTACGAGATGGGGTTGCCAATCCCGGCAGTAACTCTAGAAGAGCTACAAGTGGAGTTCGTTTCACTTACTTTGACCAAATTATATTCAGTTTATATGTGAGGGGAGTTTAATAGTTAAATCACTTGACTATCAAACAGTCGACTGTTCATTCAAGATCAATTTCACATCATTCTATGTAAGGAACTAGGCTAAATCAATAACCGTTACACTGAAACGATTTACACATACATCTACACTTGTTCAATGGATGACGTCTCGGCGGTCTAGAAGTTAAGCGTTCGCATGTGAGACTGAAGCCCGGGGTTCCAAATCCCGAGCGGGATCGTGGATGCACACTGCTTTCAGGTTTTCAATGGTGGTCTAACATCAATCAGCTAACGATATCAATCAATGAATTACTGTCAAATTATGTTTATTTTAATAGTGGATACCCAAATCTTGTTAACTCAGTTATCAAACCCCATGGCATTGAGAATCAATATCCTTAGAAACAGTATTTAATGAGAAACTATTTTATCATACTTATGATTTTTATATACAAACTTTCTTGATATACAGCTTAGGAAAATAAAAATTAAACAAGTTATATGTAAGGGTGAAAGTGTTCTACAATTCTGTTCATTGTTAATCTGCCATTAAATGGTAAATTGTAGTCATTCTACAACTATCTAAGTAGTTCTCAGTACTCTGGAGTATAGTTGTACAAAATGTATTTGGCTACATACAAATGTCATATTCAACCATTTCCTATGACATTGTCGAGCCAGATTCTGGAAAAATTTACTCCAAGTACATTTTGGTTATTACACGTATGACTAAAACAAGTATGAAACATAGTTGTAGGAAATCTTATGAACTGATTAATAAACGAGTAATAAGCGTCGGCACATTAATCATCGATTCGTAGTTGTCAAATGAAATCAGGTCACATCAACTACATATCGAGTAGGAAGTAATAGGCATTTGGATTAAAATACGATTGGTACTTGTTTGATCATAGAGATAACAAGCAAATATGACCTATAGTATATCCTAGCTAATTACATGAAACAATATGTTACCAATTAGATTATAATGTAATTTATTTTTTTTTCATTTCAGGTAATCAAAGTACAAAGTTCTGATTGCAGCATGGTGACTATCAATGTACCTCCTGAATGTGAGTATTTTAAATCTCATAGACTGTCAATGTATTTTCATGCTATAATTATTTCAAGTAACTAGTCTTGATAACTTTGATGCTTATTTTGTAAGCAAATCTGTTATGTCCATATGCCCGACTAATTATATCAAGCTATAAGATCGCCAATTAGACATCGACTTATACGACCAGGCTGATGACACATAAACCTATACGATCATCCTAGAATTCTTATTGATTCACCGAGATAATAGGTTCTCTCCTGACCCACTCGGTGTAGTAGAGAATGTCAATATCAGCCTCCGCTATACCAGTCATATATTTCAGACATACAAATAAATCAAACCACAACATAGCATAATATACAAACCAACAATTGTACAAGATTAATCAAAAAGTGGCTGTTATTGTGAGAGACAATTTCAAATAAATTGGGAATAGTAAATTTTATGATAATAGTCAATAATCAGAGAGGTATTTTGTGGATATTATAGCAATTTTTTCCAATAGTTGAATTCATGAGTCAAATGAAGATAGAACACCATGGAAAACCTGGAAGCACTGGACGGCCATTTCGTCCCATTGTGGGAATCCTCAGCAATGCACGTCCACGATCCCTCCGTGACCAGTGGAGTCCAAATGGGTCTGTTGTGATAATGACAATGGTGGTCTAGTGGTCAAGTGTTCGCGCGCGAGACTGGTAGGTCCTGAGTTCTGATCCTGTGAGGCGAGATAGTGAATCCGCATTTCTGAGGAGTCTCACAACAGAACAAAACAGCCGTCCAGTGCTTCCAGGTTTTCTATGGTGGTCTGGCTCCAATCGACTCATGAATTCAACTATTAAAAAAATAGTCAATGAGTCAAATAAAAGCATATAATGAAAGGAACACGAATATTCATATAATATAGTTACTTAATAGTCATACAATAAGAATATTCGTATAATATTGGTCCCAGAGTAATTCCGAATCGTTACCATTCATTTATTCTTGTCTGGATATTAAAAAATCCTTAGAATGAATCGATTTCAAAGTAACAGAGAAGAGATGTAGTTCAGCTACTGTTTGACATACATTTCACTTCAAAGCAAACAGTAAACATGAAAACTACAGTCAAAGGAATACTTCTAACAATCAAATGTAATATACCATCTTATTAGATTACTTCGTTACTATTCAAGTTTCATATCATTATTCAACAATCTCCATACTTCTATACAGATGATTATCATATGTCCATTAATGATTAACTTATTAGTTACTACAGCTAATTGTATCCCATTTATCCTATTTGGAGTATTCTTGTACCATTGAAAGGTTAGATCTACTTAAAGTTCAGTCGTTGAGATTTCTACAAGTATAATACTATTCTCAATTATTTATATTCTCATTATTCGAAATCAATTCTTGATGTTACACTATTATCGGTGAGATGATAATTTATGGACGACCTTTGAATGACGCCAGACTGACCCTGAGAGTGCTCACCTAATAACTAGGATCAAATAAGGGTTATGAACAAGTGTGTGAGCAATTAGAATTATGATTTATAGTTGATGGTTAAGGTTAAGAATTAGATTTAGTGTTTTCATCACGAACTGACATCAGTTATAATGTCAAAACTCTATTTAACCAAACGGATGAGTGAATTTCGCACCAAAATCCGAGACCTATTATTTTATATCTGATTGGTTCGCTCATAAATTATAGTCTCACTCTAATATCTTATAGCACAAAAGAAATTGAGTAAGTGTCCTGTCGTGTTCTTAAAGTCGTAACGGGATCAACCAGTTAAAAGATGATTATCGATCGGTTTATAAATCTAGTCCAAAACATTTACAAACAAGTAAATGGTACACTTAATAATCACTTGTGTAGATTATAAGACTCTCAAATGCCAGAACGTTGTGAACGGGCAAAAAATAAGCTAAAGGGGATACTTATACAGGAACATTTAAAAAAAGATTCAACCATTCAGCTCGGAGGAAATAATTTCAATAAGATCTTGACAAAACATCGACGTCGTTTGCAAAATTAATACATTTTTACTTACTTAGGCCTGTTACTCCTAACGGAGCATAGGTCGCCGACCACCATGCTCCAACCCACTCTGTCCTGGGCCAACATCAATTGGGAGGTCCGTGAGTGCTGCTTCGATGTTGGGTGGGTTCAGTGCTGCTGGTCGATTCAAGAGTTCTTTGAAGTGTTCTACCCACCTGTTTTGTTGTTCTTCAATGTTGGTGATTATCTTGCCTTCCTTGTTTTTCACTGGTCGTTCTGGTTTACGGTGATTTCCAGAGAGTTTCTTTGTTGTATCGCACAATTGTCCCATGTTTTCTTCTTTTGCAGCTTTTTCCATCGTCATTGCTAGATTTACCACATATTTACATCTGTCGGTTCTGATGCTCTACTTCACTTGCTTGTTTACTTCTATGTATTCAGCCTGTCCCTTTGCTTTTTCTGCTCTTGTTCGACTGGTATTAATTGCTGCTTTCTTGTTCCTTCTTTCTTGAATCTTATCCAGTGTATCGACCGTGATCCAATCCTTATGATGGTGCTTCTTGTGGCCCAGAACCTCATGACATGTTGAAGTGATTGCCTCTTTTATCCCCTTCCAGTTGCTCTCCATAGTAGTTCTTTCTCCATTGAGTAGATCATAAAAGGCCTGGAACTTATTGCTGAGGGTTATCTTGAATTTGTTGAGTTTGTCGATATCCCGAAGAAAAGCCGTATTAAACCTTTGTGATATTGTCCGCCCCGTTGTCCAGTGCTTCTTGAGTTTCATTTTCATCTTGGCGACCAGCAAGTGATGATCTGGTGCTATCTCGGCTCCTCTCTTCGTTCTCACGTCTTTCATCGTCCTCCTGGACTTTTTGTTGATACAGATATTGTCGATTTGGTTTTGTGTGGTGTGATCCGGTGAAGTCCATGTGAAAAACAGCGACACAAGATTAGAATCTGTTAGTCGATCATGACTCTCTTGGTGAGTATTGAAGCCCTAAATAAAATCCAACTCAATGCACAAAAAAACCAGTGGTAACATTGGAACTGGCAGTAGCCCCCGGAGGGACTCCATCAGGAGTTTTGAAAAATTAATGGTTCCTTAATAATCATGACTGTCATTCTAATCTACAGATTTAAATAGAAGGAAGTTTGTAACCAACATTAAAAGTCTCCATAGAAATGTGGCCATATTTTTTGACCTATTGACTAGCTTCCGGAGGAAATTTCTGAAGTTCTAACGAGAAGCCGTTATTCTCACAACTAAACCGTGTCAAGTGTGGATCAGTTACCTGAAAAAGAAAAAGGAAGATGGTTGTGCACTGTCGTGGATCTAGTGAAGTTAAACTGTAACACCATTGGACTCCGAATCAGTGTTCTAGAGGTTAAGTGTTCACATACAAAACTTGCGATCCTTGGTCATATTCACACATGTGGTTTCGTGGATGCTCACTACTGAAAAATCCCAAACTGGGACGAAACGTCCGTTTAGTGGTTCCTGGTTTTCAACAGTGGCTTAAAACTAATCGGTTCGCGATTTTAATGAAACTCAATAATCACCACAACTTCATTCTTACAATTTCAGGGACATCATTGCGTGATTTTTTATCATGGTTTAATTGAATACAATAGAGGACAGATATGCCTTCTGTCTTCGTCTTCTGACCGCCCACTGAGTTACAAGGTGCTTGAAGACGAATATGATTTAAGGGTTTGGTTGTTGTTCGTTGATCGATGTGTCAATAACTAAAAAGATCATCGATCGCGTTAACAATATAGGCGAACTAGTGAACAGTCAGACTAAAGAAAAAGACATCATACAACTTCTTTCCTGTCATTACGATCCAATCACATTAATTCCATTACAAACTATTCAAGAAATCTGGATTTTTTTAGCAACATGATAGTGCTTTACTTCGTTTGCACATCTACTTAAGTTTACTTGCTTTACTTACTCATGCCTGTTACTCCCAATGGAGCATAGGCCCCCGACCAGTATTCTCCCAACCACTCTGTCCTCGGCCTTCCTTTCTAGTTTAATCCAATTCCTGTCCATTCTTCTCACGTCTGTCTCCATTTCTCGACGCAATGTGTTCTTTGGTCTTCCTCTTCTCCTTTGGCCTTCAGGATTCCAAGTCATGGGGCTTGTGTTGTGACACAGTTGAGTGCTTTCCTCAATGTATGTCCTATTCACTTCCAGTTGTTCTTCCTGATTTCTTCATCCACTGGAATCTGGTTTGTTCTCTCCCACATTAGGTTATTAGTGATAGTGTCTGGTCAACGAATCCGAAGTATTTTGCGTAGACAACTGTTAATAAACACTTGTATCTTTTGGATGATGGTTTTCGCAGTTCTTCAGATTTCCGTCTCATACAGTAGAACTGTTTTGACATTTGTATTGAAGATCGTGACTTTGGTGTTGGTTGACAGTTGTTTTGATTTTCAGATATCATTCAATTATAGATATGCTGCTCTTTTTTTCCGATCCATGCCTTCACATCTACATCAGATCCACCGTATTCATCTAATTATGATTCTTCACTAAACTAACTCTCAATATAATCGATCAAATACTCATCCAATCTACGGTATACTTGAAGATTTCACTTTTTACATACATTGGAATTTACATAAAAATAAACAAGATTGATCGACTAATTGTTTCCATTCATTTGAGTGACAATGGCTAACTATCATTTTTATGATTAAAAGCTAAACATTTTTGTTACTGACGACTGGATTAGAATCATCTGATTTGAATTCATTATAGGTATCCATTGTAAGATTTTAATCACATAATTAGTATTAATGGAGAGTTAATATCTTCTCACCACATAGTTGAATCGTTCCTAATTTGTTAATGGATGTTATTCATGTTGAATATCTATCTATCTATCTATCTATCTATCTATCTATCTATCTATCTATCTATCTATCTATCTATCTATCTATCTATCTATCTATCTATCTATCTATCTATCTATCTATCTATCTATCTATCTATCTATCTATCTATCTATCTATCTATCTATCTATCTATCTATCTATCTATCTATCTATCTATCTATCTATCTATCTATCTATCTATCTATCTATCTATCTATCTATCTATCTATCTATCTATCTATCTATCTATCTATCTATCTATCTATCTATCTATCTATCTATCTATCTATCTATCTATCTATCTATCTATCTATCTATCTATCTATCTATCTATCTATCTATCTATCTATCTATCTATCTATCTATCTATCTATCTATCTATCTATCTATCTATCTATCTATCTATCTATCTATCTATCTATCTATCTATCTATCGAGTTTTCGCTGTCGCTTTTAAAGGTTTTTCAGTTTATGGCTCAAACTAGAAGTTCGTGACCTCAAGCACTGATGCAACGTTTTGGTTTGGCCGTCCCTAAATTTCTTTCAACCATCTCCAACACTAGTCAGCATTGCACATCGTGGTAATCGGTGTTCAGGTATACGCAACACATGGCCCAACTATCTCGGTCGATGAATATTTACAACCTCATCGAGTGATTTACTATCATCATTCCCTAATACCCTGTATCTAACCTCATTATTACTTACCCGGTGATCCCAGCAGATGTGAGCAATATTTCTAAGACATCTCTGATTAAATACCATCATTATAACAAAAAGATTACTAATTCGAGCTATGAATTATTCTTTATTAATGTAAAAATTTAGAACAGATCGATAATAGGAAACTGTGTAATCGACCACACGTGCTTCGTCTTACTTGGAACTCATCAGCTGGATGTATCTGCATCTCATTGATGATGTGTTACTTCAGGACTAGAAGCTAACACTTCACTTTAAGTACCGATGCATTGTTCACTGAGCTATAGAGTTCAAATGGCCATAATTCAGGATGTACAGAAACCAAAAAGCACTTACCAAAGTTCAATCTTGAATAGCAACTATAGAACAATTCGAAATAATGATATAAATAACTTACCATGTTTACATCAGTTGTTATTTGGATACTATTTATTGGCGACTAAAAGCATATTTCTCATAATCTAAGTATGCATTCACACGCCTAACGTATCCTGGAATTTTTATGGAGACTAACATACTGTCCAAATTATTCAATAGAGTTACTTCTTGTTCATTAGGTCGTAAATCGATATGAGTAATGTGGTCAAACTTTGTGGAGCAAAACTAGTTGGTGACGTTCATTTTCACATCTCACAGCTGAAAACGAATGTTCTACAGGTTCGCTAATCTATAGTGAAGGTCGTTTTTAAGTAGGTGAGTATGAATTTCATGCGATTCCACATTGGCGTCTGGATCAGGTATTTATCTTATTTGCGGTTTAGATAGCTTTCCAGTTAGTTGACAATCTATTATGATACTGGATACTGAAAAACTCGGATGGAAACACAACCGTTTTCGGCGACAAATAGGTATCACATGGGGATTCATGTATGGGTGAAAGAAAAATAGTTGCAACATCTGATTTGATTTAGAAAACTCTATCGGTAAACAATGAATCACAGATACTGGCTATTGAAAAGCATCTGTGAAATATTATTTTTGAACAACTAAGATTACAAGTGTATATATATAAGACAAACTTGTCATAATATATGCAGAATTTAGTGATGATAACTTCTTACTATGACAAAATTTATGATCCAAAATGTAAAAAAACTGGATAACAGTTAAGTAGTCTAAAGCCTAAGCGCTTCTAACGCTACCTGAAGATCCTATGTCCGATTCCTGGCAGGTTCGTGAATGTGTACTGATAAAGGGTTCTATACTGGGATGAAACATTTGTTCAAAGCTTTCTGGTATTTAAAACATTCTTAACTAATACATTATTTCATAATACACATTACATAATTGAACAATCTCAGTAAACCCTGTACTCTAAACATTCATTTGTATAGTTTATTATGGCTTTGAGCCAACATGTCATTCATTATAATTATCTTTTAATCATGTGATGTATTTTACAACTACTATAGATTTTATTACATACGATCAAATATAGCATCAAGTAGTATTTAGAGATTGACGTAATCAGTAAGTAGTTAGAATAGTAAAGATAAGTCATCCAGGCTATTAATAAAGTCTTACGCCAACTCCAGTACTCTGAATGGATACATAAATGGTGTTTGTTACATAAAAAATCTATCAATTAAAGAACTAGAAAGTTGGTCAAATGATTACCATAGCTGTGCTGTCATTTTATTACAATCTGATTAATAAAATATAATTTATGTATATTTATAGGTATATCGCTATAATATTTTCATGATTCTGGGGGTATCTCAATGAGATTGTTGAATTTGAAGTTTTACATTATAGACTAACTTTGGTAAGAAGACCATTGGAAATCAATAAACACTAAGTACATATTCTCTCTTGGTATGCTACTTCTTGTAAGTGCTAACCACGATGTTAACAAACGATATATGTCTATGAGGAAGATGACGTACAACTAGGCTTCATGAAACATTATAACTAAAACACTTTATACATTTAGTTCCCTTTATCAACTTGAAACGAGCAAGGATATTACATTAAATTTGATTAATTTATGAACTTATTTTTAATTAAATTTAGACAATAATACCGTTAGATTCCGGTGAGTTGGCGTAGAGGTCATACATTTTTCCCGAAGTCGAAGGTCCTGGGTTCTATTACCGATGGCGGGATTGTGGGTGCACACTCCTGAGAAGTTTCATACTATGATGAAACAGCCGTCTAGTGCTCCCAGGTTTTGAATAGTGATCTAGCTAAGACCTGTTCATGGTTTAAACTGTGATCGTATCATCTTAGTATGGGACTCATCGGCAGTGGGTATCCACGATCCTGAAATCACTGTTTGAACTGAGGACGTTGTCTTGCGCGTGAACGCTTAACATCTAGAGCGCTAAGTTGGCATCCGATGATGTTGGTGTCTAGCTTCGATGAGTAACTGCCACTCATCCGACATGGTTGAACTCCACTGATCACAGCTTCGTACTAGAACTTAAAGAATTCGTTCACGAAGCTATTCACTAGTGGGCACGTGATAATCATCAGTATAGAGGCAAAAAGATTATTAAATCTCAATAAAATTATGAATTGATCTAAGGAAAACGATCATTAAAAAACCGTTTCGTTCAAAAATGAGACTCCTCAGCAGTGAGCAACAACGAAATCGAAGTTGATTATTACATAATAATCAATCTATGTTTATATTTCAGACACATAATATAACATCTGTAACTGTTGATTTTAGTAAAGTGAGTTTAAATTGGGTAATGAACATCACTTTCCTCACGATTATGGATACACTTGATTAACACATACTAACTAGCCCAAAACCTATTTGATCAACAAACGCTTCATGTCAGTTGTCTTTTACAAGCTAGCTCACGAAGGCAACCTATATCTATACACGTTGTTATCATAGTCAAAACTTTTATTGAGAAAAGTAATCAAGAAACCAAACAATTTATCTAATATGATGGAAAAAACACAGAAGCTTGAGTTTATAGGGACCTATGCGATCAATTGAGCAATTGTATTGATGTGGTCTAAATGATGAATAATTCGCCTAGATTGCTTCTACAATACATCCACCTTACAATCAGGACAGAGTAATAACACAATAGTTGGATAAACGTTTATCACTCAGTTCATTCATTTACTTGTGTGATTATATAGATGAACTATTTATCCAACCACCTGGAACCTATAGAAGTACACTAACAGTCCCAAATCCGGATAAAAGAGGAGGGTTGGACATGCGAATAATTAACTTGCCTCGTAGAAAAGAAATTTGCCGAAAATTGGCAACTAGGAAAATTATTCGAACCATCTAAACTCGTCCCTGGGAATTGAAGTGTTATAAAACCTCACGAGGTTAGTTTCCCTTCCTACAACCAATGCAACAATTAGTATAAGTACATGTAATGAATGATTGAATATCATTCAGTGCTATGTGCCTACAAAACAATAACAGTAGACACGATATTGATCAATAATTATTCATCATGTAAGGAACGAGAGCGCATGTGGGGACAATTAATTTATTTTAATACAAGAATACAGAATCCTTTGGTAAAATATGAGAACCATACATTCAATACTTCATTTGCAAATCCGCCATCAATTGCCTTAAACTTCATTGTCATGACAACTACTCTCTGTTCCCGTTCTTATCGATTTGATCTTCCCAACCTTCTTTTGCTAGACATTCCACTTCTAATTAATGTTATATACTACTTATTTCGACAGATATAAGTAGCATATACCACAATCATGAGACTAAGTATAAACAATAACTTTTGGCAGAACAGTTCTCAAAGTACGAAACCCGTTATAACACTATCGTTTTACTTTTCTTTTTAAATCAATATTTAGTAAGGAAAATTGAACAAATTTTATTCGCTTCAGTAAAACAAAATCGTTTTGATTTAGTTAGTCGAATTATAGACGGTCATAAATGTGATATTAATGTAAGAGATAGTTTTGATCGAACACCATTACATTTGGCTGCATCATCAGGCAATTTACCAATGGTGAAATTATTAATAGAAGGTAGAGCATTAATTGATCCAGTGGATAAAGTAAGTTACTATTCATTTATTTTTATTATTATTCTTGTTGTTGTATTAATTTGTGTATTTAGTACCCTATCTGATGATATGAAGTAGTAACTTGTTATGCGTTTTATAACTTGATGTATCGTGTTATCTTGATAGGGGCATGTTTTGTTAGATGGGGGGAATTCTATTTACCTGATGTGATTTCTTGAATGATCACACTGAAGTTTGTGTTCTGGAATTAAAGGTAAGGTAAATAAACTGATCATATTTACTATGAATAAATCATGCTATCAGTATCAGTAACATTGACTTATACGAGCCAATCAATCAGGAATGAGACCCAAATCAACCAATCAGGAAATAGCAGATAGATATATTTTGATTAAGATCATGAATCAACTGATGTTAGACCACCGTTGGAAACCTGGAAGCACTGGACGGCCTTTTCGCCCTAGTATGGGACTCCTTAGCAGTGTGCACTCACGATCCCGCTCGCAGGATTCGAACCCAGGTCCTTCAGTCTCGCGCGCGAACGCTTAACCTAATCGACCACTGAGCCGGCATAATGATTTGTAATGTCACAATTGGTATTTAAGCTCACGATGTAGAACTTAGTATTTATGGCTAAAATTAGAATTAGGTTTTAGGGATTTAAAATTGCAACTTAGGATTTTGATTAGGACTAGGGTTCGTTTATATATACTCTAAATGCTAGCCTTTAGCCTAGAATTCCAAACTATACATTTTATATATGAACCTTAAGCTTCTGGTGATGTTTGCATTACTAAAATTAATCGTCACTGTTCAACAGACAACATTCAGTTTTTATGTATGATCCCTGAAATCGAAGTGACTAACTCATACATGACTGTCTTACCATTTATAAGTTACCATAGCAGCGATCACAACTAAATGTTTCGACGATATTCATATTCCCCAACTAAGAATAATAAAGATAACTGCCCACTGACGAATAACAAGTTGTAGTGAGAATCTGTTGCAAGTTAAATTCGACAGTATATGAAACGAAATAGTCAGTGGTTGACTATCATGGTGTTATGGAGATGCACCAGCCACAGAGATTGATTGAGGCTCATGTAGACGAGCCAAGTGACTCTCCTAGCAGAGGATCGTTGATCAGCACTTCCTTCATATTTGCTACTTCTTTCTGGCACGTTTGAGTTACATACATAAAACTAGTAAATAAGCTTGTGCTCTTGCGCTTGACAGCACACATATAGTCATAAGCACTCTAAAAAGAGGGTTGATGGTCAATACTTTACTTGTATTTACTACGCCCCATTTTTTTATATGGATCTGTTTTTTAATAAGGTTAGGATAAACTACGAGACTCATATAAGTCATATATGTAGGCATGCACAAAGGGTAGCCGTTTTGTGTTTTTTGTTTTGTAAGTTTAGGTCTTCAATTTATCCAGGTTACGACTGAGTGGCGGATTAGTCCAATCATCGTCTGCTACATACTTTGGCACCACTATGGGTAGGCCGCAGGTCGGATTTTGCTGCCAATGATTGATTATATCAAATGAGGATCACAATATATACTATGTATTGACTAGAGTAGTAAATAACGTAAGCCGTTAGTTTTAGACTCACAAAATAAATCAGTTAGGGTTTGTGTTTATTAATTCAGTTATGAGACGTAATTGAATCTTCTTGTTGTTGATGTTAAGGATTATAACTGATTAGTCACTTTTGGACATATGTGAATCCTGACAGGATTTCCCTGATATTGTTACTAAAAATTCTGGTGATCTAGTAGTCATATCGAGTCAATCTGTTCAGGATTCACTTATACCAAAAAGTTACTGATAAGTTAGGGAATGACGGTAAATCAGTTGACAAAGTTGAGAATCTTCATCGACTAAGATGGTTGGACCACATGTTATGTATGCCTGAACACTGATTATCACGACGCACAATGATGAATAGTATTGGAAACGGATGGAAGAAAGTTAGTGGCGGCCAAACCAAAATGTGACATTAGTGCTTGAAGTCACTAACTTCTAGTCTGAGCCATGTTGTTTAGATGCAGACTACTTGGTTGAGGTCCGCCTGACAATCAAAACCAATGGTTGAAGGCTCTGTGTGACATGGCTCAGGATCGACCACATTGGCGTAGGTGTATGCTTTCTTTGTCCTCGCTTAAACTATGAGATTAAAATTGCTTTATATCTTTCATTCTACCAACCAACTCTGTCTTCCTGTACTATATCCTTATATGCAATCTTTCTTTTATATATTACCACCACTAAATTAACTACTTCTATAAATCCGGTGTTCATCTTGTTCGTGCTAATGAGGTGTGGTAACTTGAACCAATGAGTACATGTGCATGGTCCTACATTGTAGATGACTGATTGACTGACAGACTGACTGACTGACTGACTGACGGAATACTGCTTGGGTGCCCAAACCGAAACAAGCTGATCAATCACAGTATTTAACAGCAATAACAGAAAGATTCAAACATATCCTACAAATCAATTTAAATTTATATCGGTTACACAATTGACTAGCTAAGTAGGTAACACATTGACCGTCTGAAGTGAATCCTAAAATAAAGATCAATACTTGGATACAAGTATATCAAGCTGACTAGTCTTCAATAAGACGAAACGTACATCTTAGATTTAATTGCTAGTCAATATTAAACTGTTTAAAAATGTTTAAGTTTATTGTATCAAAATTTTACAACTGGAACCAAACAGCTGACTAGTAGTTTCTCTTTCTTTCTCATCTGATTTCCATCATGTGTTAAATCTAATGACGTGAAGATGTTTACTTTATACTATACACTAAACAGTTAAATTAACTTTATTGATTGTTTATTTTTTTTTAATTTTTCAGTTTGGTATTACACCATTATTTTGGGCTGTTTATAACAATTATAAAAATGTAGCTCATTATTTACTCAATATGGGAGCTAAACATAATCGAGTTACTAAGGTGAGTATAATTTGCATCATTTTTTTTTGTTATGATATTCTAAGGGATCAATCAGAGAGTGTTAAGAATTGAGTGTTATTGAGATCTTTCAGTTAAGTTGTAATGTTGTCATTAATCTAAGTAACTCTATGTTGAAATGTTGGGTAGTTGATGGCATTCGGTAAACAAAAATTATAGATTTAGGGATTCGTCCTGGTTGGTACTCAACAGAAAGGTGTACTTGCAATCTTGAAAATTCTAAAATTCTAACCTAAATTTCATAGTCCGAGATATATTATTTCAAGATTGCCTGTTTGCCTTGTTGACTAGTGTTTACCAACAGATCTACATTAAACATGATTTCATGCTTACTACTTCAAACTTCATATGTCTTTAACGAGTCTTTTTTTCGTTGTTGGTGTTGAAAACTGTAATTGATCTGTCTCTTTTGGCAATATTTTCAAGTAGTCTTTTACTTGCGTTGGAGTTCAAGACATGCATTTCTTCCTGTCTTGGACTTGTTCACCTTTAACCACATATTAGTTACATGTCTCAATATCAATAGCTGGAATATATTAATCCATCCAAATACTTTCAGATCCGTTAGACAAGTTAGTGCTATCTCAACTAACCAGTCTAGAAGATAACATATTGTCATTTGGGTCGGAGGGCATTAAATTCGAATTTCAGTGTGGTAAACATTAACACTGTGATCCAGATACATCTAAGTTACGTGTCCCACGTGAGACGAAACAGTAGTTTTGGATTACATTTCTGGTCACTGCTCAACAAAACAATGTATCTTGGCTTAAAATTCCTCATCATACTGAAAAATAAAAAATATATCAATGAAGAATATTCTTTTTCATATTCTGCACAGATATATTTCAAAATTGTCCATGTTTAAGGCAGATACAACGTTTACAACTACAACATACAGTGTTAATATCAGTACGGCGTTTTTTTCGCAGATCATAGATTTTTCATAGATCTTACATCATGAACTGATCTAAGTTAGATCACCAGTAGAATCCTAGAACCACTTGATAGATGTTTCGTTCTCGTATAAGACTTCTCATCTGTACGCAATACTTCTGGGTTCGATTTCCAGATGCACAATTCTGGATGCTCATTTCTGAGTGTTCCTAAGCCAGGACAAAAAGACCGTTTATTGTTTTCAGGTTCTAAATAATGGTTTAACTGATATCTATTCATGACTCGAAGACTATGAAAATTCTTAATGTTGCAATAACTATTATGCAACGTCACTAACTTAAATATAGTTTATACATCAGATGAAATTGTTCAGTTAATAGTCAGAATAAAGATGAATATCAAAGGATCAGACAATGAAGCTACTGATCAGATCAAATGCTTTAATGAAAGACTATACTGTGTATAAAATGATACGAGTCCATTAAGATATAATAAAATGGATTGCATGGCAACTAAATTATTCATGTGTTTGGCTTATTAAGATACTGAAACAATGACTACAATATTTGAATAAGATTGACTTCAAGCTATAAAAATGAAAAGTGGTAAGCATGAATACACATTATTCTAATCAAATCATTTTATAATTAAGATGACTATTGATATATTGACTCTGAGGTTGGTCAAAGTTAACCGTTGAGTATATATATCCCTTTCACATACATAACTCCGGCATTTTTTCTTAAGTTCGAATAGTTATTACTCCTAGTGTTTAGAGGACTTTGAGTTAATCTGTGTCGGGTAGAGACAGGTATCTACCTCAGTACAATAGAAGATGGTCGCGCAATCTCGTGGATTGATTGAGGTTAGACATTGACACCGTTGGATGCCGGATCAGTAGTCTAGAGGTTAAGCATTCACAATCGAGACTAAAGGTCCTGGATTTGAATCTCACAAGCGGGATCGTGCATGCGCACTGCTGAGAAGTTCCACAATAGGACGAAACGGCCGTTCAGTGCTTCCAGGTTTTCAGTGGTGATCTAACGACTATCAGTTCATGATCTCAATCAAAAAGCTTGGTAATCTCCACAACCCTATACTGACTTAGAGTTTGACTGACTTTAGGCGAAAATTATTAACACGATAAATCACTGTCGACAATGCACTTATTCTGACATCATCTACTCTGATTGTTCAGTTGATTACTATCATTTCAGGTATAAACTTATTCAAATGATTACGATTGAATAATAGTAATTTCGATCTTTACCTCTTCATTGTATTTTACAAACAATCCTATATCCCCATATGTCATAGTTGTAAACGATGGATTTGCCTTAAACTTGACCATTTTTAGTCAATTAATTTGGAAGTATATTTGTGTAGAACGTCATGAGAATTTATTGAATAGAATGGTGAGGAAGATTTGTAAATGAAGTGGATGATTTTGATGGAGTTTTGTTCTCTAAGCTGGATGGTTTGCTCGTGGAGCTTCTCTCAGTGGATTTGATGAAACTATATAATGTTCATAGTTTAAATCACGAATTGATCATAGCTAGACCAGTATTAAAAACCAAAAAACACTGGACAGGCGTTTCGTCTTAGTATGGAACTACTCAGTAGTGCCCATTCACGATCTCTCATTCTGGAAGCGAACCCAGGACCTTTAGTCTCGCAAGTGGATTTTCAACCTCTAAATCACTGATCTAGCGTCCAACAGTGTTTATGTCTAACTTCAATCAATTCACAATATTTTACAACCATATTCAATTGTCTTTGGCAGGTAACTGCCTCACATCCGTCACGGTTGAACTCCACTGATCTCATACTAGAAAGGAATGTCTATCCAGTGATTTCAGGTTCTTTATGGTCGATAAAGACTTATTTCTTATCAGTAAAGTTAAATTCTTTTCGTGGTACTCTTCACTTTTTCTAAAATGAATCACAGTTTCTTTTTTTATTTTTAATAATAAAGTTCACATATACACAATGTCAAAGTTGATCATCATTTCTTATGTTGTATTGTGCAAAATTTATCGATCGTATCTGTTTGTATTCTTTTTCTAATGATAAAACTGTTTTCTTTTGTACTTTTATTGTATGTCTGTGTGAGGGTATGAAAGAGAGAGAGAGAGAGAGAAATAGATGAACAGAATTTGTTAGTAGTATTGTTTTATTAATGAGATGAAAAGTGAAAAGTTGTGACCAGTAGAATTCAATCGGGTCTGTTGTGAGGTAGTAACTCAATGACGACAATGGTGGATGTGTCACTCAATTTCGTGGATTGGTTGACGTAAAACATTAACACCGTTGGATGCCGACCAGCTCAGTGGTCTAGTGGTTAGGCACTCGCGTGCAAGAATGATAGGTCCTGAGTTCGAGTCTTGCTAGTCGGGATAGTGGATGGGCACTTCTAAGAAGTTCCACAATAAAACGAAACGACTGTATAGCGCTTCTAGATTTTCCATGGTGGTCTAGCTTTAATTGACTCATGATCTCAACTATTGAAATTACTATTGTATCCACAAAAGCCCCTTCGGAAAATGGTATAACTAATTAGAACTGAGTTATGAAATGCAATAAAGAGATGATGTAATCGACAAACGATAAAATAATATAACTTTTACCATGGCGACAAAAGTTTTACCACATTTTTATTCTATACACAAACGTCAGGTCGAAAGCGCCTCATCAAAGCACAGTATAAGTGGCGTTTGCTGTTTATTGATTATTTTAAACGGCTTTGTGATATCCAAGTTGTGTTCGCTGTTCGTTAAATGTCTAGTGACTGTTCTTATGAATACTTCACTTTATTTCAAACGAAGCGTTTTAAGAATATGTTCGGAAAATCTTGTAGATACCCTTCTTTCAGTCCTTCCTATGTAATTGCTTTCATAAGTACATGTAAATTTATAAACATATTTTAAAACGACTTTAGAACTGTATTAATCCACTTTTGGTTGGTTTAAGGAACATCTACTGTTATGCCCTGGAAATAGTTGGGCTTCGGCAGAGCTACTTTGAAGCTGTGCTTGATTCCTTTAAGTAATTCTATTTGAAATTTCATCTCCATTTGAATACATTTATTATTTATTTATGTGAACACATAAATATTGGCACAAAGTGGCACCGAATAAATACGCGTCACACAAGCCACTTGATTTGTGTGTGGGCTATGACACTGCCCTGGTGCCCAAACCGAAACAGTTACTTTTCTAAGGGATACCAAACCGGAGTCTTCCACGTAAAGGTCTGAACAACCCCATAGTAGCCAGTGACCAACGATTGGTTCATACATCATTTATTCCTTCAGGATCCTAGAGCCAATGTGCAGCATTAGTTAGGAATCAGGGTTTTCCAACTCCACTGAGTGGATCTTCCATATCCATCAATCTACTTAAAGCTCTGGACATTCGCTTTTCGTCCTCTCGATTTTGTAGACGACAGCTCCGCGTTGAGATGATATTGAGTAGATCTTCTCTGACAGTGACTTTATATGCGTGACCATGTGATAGTATTTCGACAGAGAGAGTTGACGCTTCTCACCCTTAGTCTCATTAGGGCATTTAAGGGCAAAATAGATGAAGATGGATTTTTGGTTATCAATTGTTTGCTTGGAACTTTCGTGAACATTATTTCGTACTTCATATCATAGTTCGTTGGATATCCATTTTTTATAAAGCATCCCTCAATGTATGGTATTTTTTTTCATTATTTTATGAGTTGAACATAATTCTCTAACCCTGTTAAATTTGATTTGATTACAGTAGATAAAACGTTGCTGATATAAACTTAATTCGTTTACAGCCGATGAGAAGCCTTAAAATATAATAGATTCATGTTGTTCTTTTTGTTCTCACTTCATTTAACTTTTCATTGTTTAAATCACGAACTGATCATAGCTAGATCACCACAGTAAATCTGGTAGCACTGAACGGCTTTTTTGTCCTAGTACGAGACTCTTCAGTATTGAGTATCCGCGACCCTGTCATCAGGAAGTGAACCGAGGACTTTCGGTCTTGTGCTTAAACGATTAACCTCTAGATCATCGAGCCGGAGCTGAACAATGTTAGTGTTTTAACTGTAAGAATACCACAATTTTCGAAAATCTCTGATACTAATTATTCAGATTTGTCAAGAAATCAGTATGTGTATGGTTATAGTTAATTCACTGAACAGTTATGGTTGTTTTCATTTGTTTATTCTAGTATACTTTGGTAGGTTGTATTCGATTTTCTGTTCTTACATAAACACCAAACGCATATTTATTAAGGACATAGAAGTCCTGCATAATTAGTCAAGCGTGGTCTGGGTTACTGCCCGGTTACAAAAACCATAGTAGGTAGTTTTCTTTGGAGACCACTCTCCGAGATTTTAATTTAAGTATCTAATCTATAAGATAGGGGGAGGAAATGGTATGAGTTCCCGTCCCATGGTAGTCAGTGACCAAAATTGGTTCATACGGTATTCGTTTCCTCAGAATCCTGGTGTCTGTATGTACCATTGTTTTGAAATCAAGATTTTTCAGTTTCTGTTCTTCGAATCTCACTATTATCACAAATTTTTGTTACCATGGTAGGGCAGATGTCTGTATAGAACTGTCATCTGTTCATCACGTTATCAAACGTCGTTTGAAATAAAATCCAATGACTATCTTGAACTACATCCTTAAACGAAAGACCTTTATCTTGGTTGTAGTTTTAACTTAACTGTACTATAATTCTTATCACTTCATTATTTCTTTACAATGTTACCACGTCATTTTGTATGTTCCGTTCTAATTATTCCAGAATCGATGAATATTAAGTTGATAAATCAAGCTTAGCGCATTTCAGAATAGTGTTTTTTTACGGGTCAGGGTTTGTCAACCTTATGTCGAACTCCCATCTTTTACTCTGGCTGGAAGCCACCAGTAACCCCAGAAATGTTTCAGATAAAGTTTATTAAGCATTCTAATTAATTAAGCTTACCACAAAATTCCGGTAGAATGTTGTTATTGTTAAGCTGAGAAATTCAACAATACTAAAAATGAGTCAGCTTTTTGCTAAATAGAATTGAACGATATTTTAATATACCGTGCTCGTTAGTGACTAGCTTCGTGAGAAAATTCTCGGGGTTCTAGTGAGAAGCTGTAGCCGGTAGAGCTAATCCGTGTCGGATAGAGACAGGTATCTTCCTCAGTACGATGGGAGACGGATTGGTTGTGGTTAGACATTAACGCCGTTGGATGCCGACTCACTCGTCTGAAGGTTAGGCGTTTGAGCGTGAGACCAAAGTCCCTGGGTTCGAATTACACGAGGCGGAATTGAAGATGCGCATTGTTGAGGAGTCCCACAATAGAACAAAGCAGTCGTCCAATACTTCCAGGTTTTCAATGGTGATCTAACATCAATCGGTTCATGATCTCAAATAGATACAAAACGTTTTCTAAACTTAACCATAAATCTTCACAAACAACAATTGTAAATTGTTTATTTAAAGTTTTAATGAATCATGTGAGATGAATAGAGAAAAAAAAGAAAGAATTTAACAAATCACTTAAAACAAGTAACATGTGATGTATATTTACATTTTGATGATGATTGTTATGATTATTTTCATTTCTTTCTTTTCTTTTCTTCTTTTTCTTTCTTTTCTTTTTTCTTCTTTAGCAAGGTTTTACAATTCTTCATTTCATTTCTGAATCTAATGCTATTTCAATATTAAAATATTTACATCGTAAATCACAAACATTAGAATATGATATTGCAGATAATGTAAGTTGTCAAGGTTATTGTTTTTATTTCTTTTTTTTTCTTTTTTTCTTTTTCTCCCTTTTCATTCTTTTGTTAAACATAAATTTTTGTGTGTGGGTGTGTGTGTGTGCTAAAAAAAGAAAAAAAATTTCATTATTAAATGAATAAATTATTTAATTGAGTATAGTTCATATAGAAAATTGTACAATCATACAAAGATCAGTTTACCTACTCGTGTATAGATCTAGATAGGTAGGTCAATCGTCGAGGCTACTGTTAAAACGCATTCGGTAGTGTCTACTAGCGTAGCTTAGCACAGGTCGAAATAAGTTGATTATATAATCAACATTCAATGTTTACCTTATCCTTTGACATCATTTACAGAGTGTAATCAAATATACTATAGATCACTAACGCAGATGATCTATGTTGAATGATTGGGGGGCCTACTCGAGTTAGACGGAAATGGTGTGACCAAAAGCTAACTTTAAAGTCACACCTCGCGATCAGCACCTAACATGGACTACCTCTTCGTCGTATCAAGGTACGGTGACTGATTTGAAAACCATATAACACGCAAGAAGTCATTACAGCAATGTATTAGTAAAAGTAGGTACAAGGAAGCAGTTGCGACCACCACCTCACGGACCAGTCCATGGTGTTCAATCAATTGATGCGCGTTGGTTGTTCTTAACCTTGACAAGAATCAATGATCTGTTCAATATTCAGTGACCCAACTGTCGAATCATTTGGCTAGGTCTCAGTGACATTTCACTGACTCTACAATACCAACCTACTTCATATCTAATGAGCTTTGGTCAACTGTGATTTTAGACTTTCGTTGAGTATAAAAAAGGGACTTGTTAGATTCCTCTCCCTTTTTCGTTATGTACTCCTATATTTGTAAATGAGGGTTGTGATTTACGGAATAGTTTGTGTTATCTGTTTTTCATTGTTTGATACGTGTGGGATATCAAGCATTTCCCAACAGTTCTATGTTTATTTAGATGGTATATGCAGAATGTAAGAGCATAATTTTCACTGGAGATTTCATTTTATGCCAGGACTTTCTATGGATTTGTGTCTTTTACTCGGTGTATTGAGATCGGTTTCGTTGATCGTTGATGGTAGACGGATCTGTGGGAACCTGAAAGTGTTTTGGGATTAAATTTTCTAGTAAAAATCACAGCTCAACATACAAGACTCATTCATTTAATGATCGAGAAAACATTCGATAATACTACCATACTGCAGACTTATTGAAGATTGTAAGATGGATGGATAAATTAATACTGTCTTTTGTTTGTTATCAGACTTGATGCTTCCACTTAGATTTCTTGAATACTACTATTCACATAACTCTGTCACTGCAACAACAACAACAACAACAACAATACTCACATTTACACCTTTCCGTTCTCATACTTCTTTAATGTCTTACCTTAACAACTCTATTTATCACTATAACGTTGTAGAGACTGTTAAATTTTATTGAAATGACTAACTGATCAAAATCTAGATGTTAGGCATTCACATGTGTGACTGAAGAACATAGGTTCAACTCCTGGTTGTGGGTTGTGGATGCGTACTGCTAAGCGATCCAATACAAGAGTCAAATAGCTGTCCAATGATTACCTTACTTAAATCGGTTAATCATTTCAATGAAACTTAATAATCTCCACAACTCCATATTGACAATTCTCTAGTTAATCAAACTGTATGAGGAGAGGTTATTTATGTATAAATAGTCTTAATTATTAACACATTTAAGAATATATGTGCATGCTTATGAACAGATATTACTTAATCCCTATTAAGATTGATTTTATGTTTCAGTTTAAATCAGTGACCATTTAGATATCATTCATTTTAATAATTATTCAATCAGTTTCCATTGAGGATTCATCCAAGAGATTAGATAAGTTATTTTCTCTCTTTATTGTTTACTCTACGTTTGCAAGAACCTCGAGAACTTAAATTTGACACAGTTTCATCTTGTTAAACTATGAGGTAAAGTAATATACTAACATCTTGGGTCAGTTACACATCAACCAAGAAACAAGCATATGTTATTGGTCATGAGTTGTCTTCACTTTCCAATGGGAAGGAGTACATATTATTGGTTGAAAATGAGACTCTATTTTATAAGTGAGAAAGATGTTTATTTATGAATGAGTGTACACATATTATCGATTCTTCTACCTCACACTTTGTCATCTCACTTAAGTCACTGGTTTGAATTTGCGTATAGGAAGCCTATATATCAGTATTAGTACTAGGACAACTGCACAATATAACACTTATAGTATTTGGGTTTTATTTATTTATTTAAACACATAAACATTGGCACAAGGAGGCACCAAATACATGTGTGAGAGCTAGAATACTACCTGGGCACTTAAATCGAAACAGATTGTTTTCTTAGAGAGTCAATCCCCAAGCCTTTGACCTAGAGGTCTGAACCACAAGGCGGTAGAGGATTGTTAAGCGATGCACTCCCATTGTGACCGGTGATCAACAATAGGTTCATACGCTATTTACTTCTTTAGGATCTTGTAATCAATGTCCAGCATTAATTTGGAATCAGGGTTTTCCAACTCCATTAAGTGGATCCTCCATATCCACCAACCCCGTCAAAGCACCGGACATTCACTTTTTGTCCTCTCAATTTTGTAAACAACAGCTCCGCCTTGAGGAGACAGTGAGTAGGTCTTCTCTGACAGCGGCTGTATATGAGTGACCATGTGATAGTATTTCGACAGAGATAGGTGAATCTCTTCATCCTCGGTTGTACCAGGGCATTTGAGTGTCTTATTTGGATTTAGTTCACTTGTTTCAATTCGAGAATATAAAAAAAGCACTTGAAATAGATGATGATACTTGAAGAAGATTACAATTCTTCTACTTTTGAATAGTTCTATGTTACCGTTGTTATTAGTAGGGATGAATTCGTAGTTTTGTATTTTTCAACTACTTCTTCTACCACTTAACTATTCATCAGTCAATTGTTAGAAAATAATTGAAATATTAAAATCCATCATTATAAGTGGATAATGTACAAGATGAATTGTAGTAACTAATACCTTAATATGTACATGCATACACTTACACATAGATAAGTAAATAATCATTACTCTTATTATTCCATACCATATATTATTGTGATTAGATTTTCAAAACATCTCAACACAAGATGTATAGAATACCAATGGAAGTCTTGTTTTGATTGAGATCATGAATTGACTAATATTAAATTACCATTGAACACTTGGAAGCACTGGACGGCCGTTACATCCTAGCATGAGACGCTTTAGCAGTGCACCGCCCAGTGCTTCCAGGTTTTCCGTGATAGTCTAACATTGATCAATTGATAATCTCAATCAAAATTCAACGATCTTCACAACCCTATACTTAGAAGTCCTGTTTTTTGTTGAAAACCTTTACATTGTGATTAGCTATCATTCTCGCCTCCATAACAACATTTTACACCATTCAGCATACTTATTGTATAGATTTGATAGTTCCCCTTTTCTAAAGTACAGACAAGTAGAAAGAAGGTAACATGAATCAGCTTAGTGGAAGTACCCTTCTTAAGTTCCTCATCAAATTCAATCTTCCTTAGATTGTAAATAGTATATCAAACATGCAATTGACACATATGGTTAGTCAATTAAGATACCTTCAAAATTGAAATACAATAATGTAAGTTCTGATGATTACTGGCGGCGTAATCTAGGATGCACGTTTCTTTCTATTCGAGACTCATTAAATGGATGCACAAGCTTCCTAACGTTGATGCGAACATCAAAACTTGAGCTCAGTATTTTTGACTTGAAACATGTAATGCATTATTGATTGAGTCACTGAGTCCATTTGCAATCTTTAGCATCAGCAATGGATGAATTCAAACCCGATACAGGTAAAATACGATAAATACACGTTGAAGCAAGACGCCATATCACATCACATAACCATGGCAAAAAGATACTGGTTGTTATGTCATTTCAACTTACTATTCCTGTCTTCACGTCTTGATTTTATACCCCTTCCTCTGCTTTTTCAAAGTTTTACATATGTGAGTTAGTCAGTTTCTAAGAGAGAAATCTGTATTTTGATTGAAATTAAAATAAATTAATAATAGAATTATAATCAGCAATCTATTCCAAGAGAATCTTCCTCATTTCTAAATGGATACTTGTCTTTGTGAATTGGTGTGATAGGCGGTGTTCAAAATCTGATACTGATACATGGTGTGCTACGTGCTAACCCCCTCTCTCTCAACTGAATACTTGAGTGAGAACATAAGAGTGAGCGAAAAAGTGTATTGATCTACCGAATAAGATACAAAAATACTCATTCATATGTACACTACTCTATCCTTAGGAAATTGACTTATTGATCCCAATGAAATGCACTTGACCTTTAGATCACTTCTGATAGCAATCGATTAATCTACTCATTAGGCTACCTCTGATTGACTCTTCATACCATAAATAATCTTTGTCATGAAATAACATCGACTGAGAAAGTACCATTGAAAATCATGGATCGTTAAACTGTGATTGATGATAATCTGAACAAATCCAGATACAATGTGCTCATGCATACATGTCATTTCAAAGGCGAATTTTTAATGAGAAGTGTTAACCAAGTCACGTTATAAATTGAAACTATTTATTCAATGTATCAAGGTTTTGGCTTATATATTCTAGGAATAGCTATATATATATATACACTAATCAATCTTCTACATGTTCATTCGGTAGGCAATTAGAAGTTCCTATTCATTCTTAGTCTTCTGACTTACGCATTAGGATGACGTTCTCGTAGATCAGCATCTAATTAGATTATCACAGATCATAACAGTTTAGCTCATTCATGAGGTGAACAGAAGGCATTTAAATCCCTGAATCCATTCTCATGATAGAGCAATGAAAAAAAGAATTAATAGAACTTAAATGAATATGTGATCATTAACGCGAGCTTAGTACATATCACTGCCATCAGGCTGACATGAAGAATATATTACCTGACAGAGAACCGACAAATTTGTTTATTGTATACCCAACTCATGTTTTAAATTATAGATGAATAGATCTTCTACAATGTGAAATATGTGCTTAAGTGTATACCTCTCAGAATATTTGACTACGTTATTAATCGACCTACAATTGCATATACATATCGAGCGAGTGAATGAACGAGCGAGCGAGTCATGAATATGAATAACATGGACATATATATACATAGTGAAATTAATGAATCATCGAGTCAATTAAGCGGTTAATAGTAAAGCTAGTAGCGTGAATAAATGCGTAGGCAGTAAGGCTTGCCGAGCATACACATTCATACAAGGATAACAATAATAAAGGTACATACATTCGCAACAGTAATAAGGATACAATAAGTTATTATAGTGCAGGTGACTTTGTCCGTTTAATAAAGTTAATAAAAGGGCTTAACCGAATTAGGTGAGAGCAAACACAATTGAACGTGAGTTGCTATAGTATGACTGTTAGGCTTTGTATTGCATCTTTAGAAAGAATATGTCCGTGAGTTGTACTGGGGTTAATGTATTTGGGTTGTTTATTATAGGAACAATTGTATTATCTTGTATGTTTGATCAAACTTATGTCTGTTACCCCTCATGGAGGAGCACAGGCAACACACCAACACTCTCCATCCAACCCGGTCCCAAACAATCCTTTACAGTTGCTGTTGATCCTTATCATCTCTTCTTTCTATCCACTTCCAATGTCTTTTCCTAATTACCTCTTCAACTGGAAGCTGGTTTGTCCTCTCCCATAGTAGGCTGTTGCTGATGGTTTCCAGACAATGGACCTTGAGTATCTTGTATAGACAACTGTTTATAAATGTTTGTACCTTTTTGACGATGGTTTTTGTAATTCTCTACGCTTCAGCTGTGTACACTAGGACTGTCTTGATATCCGTATTGTTTGCATAGTTAACCAAATTCCGTTTTCACCAATGAAACAGCAATCAATGAATAACAACCAAAGCGTTAAAGCCTTTTGGTTCTCGAGCTTCTTCTAATCCAATGTGTTCATTCAGAAGATGATGTTAGCAAATAGTTGAATTTTCTGACGTATTCTACTCTTTCATGACTAGAAACTCACACAATATAATAATCTATACACCCATAACTCAGTCATATGTGATACAAAGCAAATAAATGCATACATAACTAATTAATTACCTAAAAATGTACTTGACTGACGACCTTAGGCGACTTGTCAGCCGATGAGGAAATACCGCCTAATTATAAAACAATTAACAATACTAAGAAATAAAATAACAACTTTAATCTTAATAATTAACCTTCACAAGTCAAATTATCCCTTGTTATAAGGAAAGAAGGTTATGTTTACATTATTAGTAGTCAGGCTACTGTTATGTGTTAGGGTTATCACTTCATGAAGCTTTTTGTCACCAACTAACATCAATCATAATAAAAACAGGTTAAGGTTAGCTTTTAAGGATTAACCTGTAGTTCTGATTTGAGTTTTCAAATTCGATTCGGGGTTTTCATTGTAAACTGATATTAGCTTTAATGTAATACTTTACTGTTTTAAAACTTAAGAAACTTGAAGTTGAGATTTACAGTTACATCTGAGTAACTAAACCACCCATTAAATCATATGATTGTACTTTAACATACATTCTACTTAAAGTACCATCTTAAATTCACCTTTTTCAGTTACATAATAGATCTTTTTTATTGATTCCAAACATCTTGATAATTAGTTGTTGCTAATTTCCATCTCACTAATAAGAACATACAAGTTATTTGTAACTGCACTTTAAGTTTCGTGTGATCGTCATTCTGATTGGTTAATCCAAGGCCATCAGTATAGTACAATTTTATCATTAGTAACAATGCTGTAATAGAACGACAATATAACAACAGTTTATGAATTCAATGAAAGCTTACAACTTGGAGAATATAATATATATTTGTCATTAAAGGCGAGACCATAATCTATGGAAGAACCAATCAGGAGCGAATGGACGACTTCAAGGTCATGACACCAATTTTAGTATCCACTGCTCATGTACGATCGGTTTACAACAGATTTCAAGGAAGATGTTATAGTTGAGCGATTAGAACAGATGAGATTGCTGAGAACTTTCTTTGTTTGTGGTCGCGGTGTTTAAATGACTACTGGACATTATGGAGTCTATTGTGATGACGTTGTATTTCGACGTAAGGAATAATGGAGGAAAAATTCTGCTAGAACGAGGATTTTTTCACTTGATCCCGATTGACACTAATATAGGTTATGATAACTGTTGCAAACTGGATAATAAAAGCGCCAGTAACACTGGTTGCAACTTTTGCAGTTGACAGTTCAGTGGTATGAGTACTGTCGAGATATATGTGAATAAAAATGACAGACTTGAATCAGTCGTTTGAAGGATTCCAGAGAATCGCAGAAATCGGCGAAACTATACTGTATGCATCATGATTTCAGGAAAGCACTGGACAGCCGTTTCGTCCTACTATAGAACTCCTCAGCATTAACATAATTATTTAATTACAAGTAAAAATAAATTTCTAACCTAGATCGATTTGAAATCCTAATTTTTTTTAAATACTCGGAAATCTCCACAACCCCCTTCCACCCATATACTCATTAGCGACTAGTTTCAGGAGGAAATTTTCGAAATTCCAGTAAGAACCTGTGGTTAATGAAATTCAATTGTGTTGTTTGTCCACCGCGCAATATCATAGATTAGTTCAAGTTAGACTTATATACTATCAGATGCTAGCTAAGTGGTTTGGAGGTCGAACGCTTGTAATAATTCTAATATACTTATTATCCAGTTTTAAATATTAAATGTAACATAAACTCCTGGGAATTTGTAAAGATAGAGACGGATATGTTTGTCATACTCACTAGATAATGGTTACAATCAATGTAAGAACATGGATGAGAAAAAGGTTCTAAATATTTAACTCACCTCAGTCACAACGGTAGACCACGGTTAACCTCTGACCGTTAGCCATAACTTCCGCAACGTACTATTGAATTATGTTGTTGATTCCTTTGCATACATTCTAAGCATCTAGTTTGCTCCTAGTGTTTAATAGTTGACTTGTTATGAAATTAAACAGAATATCATATCATCAAAGAAGTAAGTTCTTGAAAATATACCTGTCTTTACTATTGACCTTGTATAATGATTATTTTCCTAGAATTTAACATAATCCGATATTGATACAGATGAACAGATAGATTTATCTATTTATTTGTCATCATGACCATAATCTGCCCATTGGACTGATTATCAGGCATACAGAGAAGCTGTTTGTAGAATAGTTAACCTATTTATTATATTGAGCTACACCTTGATATAAAATACCTTGGAGGCAGGAAATAACTTATTAGCCAATTAATTATCTACTATTTGGGCTCTGATTGATATGTCGGAGAAGAGAAGATGACTGTAATAGGAAAGAAAAACTAGACAGTTATAATGTTTGGTAACCCTATAAGTAAATGAATAAATACATAGACTGTAAAACTACGATTCACAAAAGACTAGAAAATACAATATGTGCTATAAACAAAGCATTCAGCATTAAAATCATTAAACTAAACTTACGATTAAGTGACAAAGGTTTACAGATTCGATCAAAACTTCGGATTAAGGGATGATGACGGTAATATGCACAATACCAACTGTTCACATAATTATACATAAAATATAATGAGTAATAATTCATTTTGTATTGTTTGTTTGAATCTCCTAATTGATCTTTAAGACTGTAATCGACCAGTCACATATTGATATAGGTGAATCCTATGTGGATTGCCTCGATATTACTTTAAGTCATAATCATCAACTCTAAGATGTCAATACATCCAGTTGACGAGTCTCGGATGGGACAAAACACGCGTCTTGAATTCCATTGCTAGTCACTATTCATCTTTATTAAGTTTGTCACTTTTCACTTAAACTTCTTAGTGATCATATTTTTTATACATTGATTTTATTAGAATGGAATGACTCCATTTTTAATAGCTGCTTCCAAAGGAAATGAATTATTAATGGAGATTTTGGTTAAACGAAACTGTAATGTGAATGCAACAGATCTGGTAAGTTAAGATGGAATTTTTATACAGTTTAAATCAAATTTTATGCTTGAATTATTTGATGAGACCAGAATTTATGGACGAAACCAATCAGATATAAGATAACAGATCTTGGATTTTGGCGCGAAATTCACTCATTCATTTTTGGGTGAATACAGTTTTGACATTATAATTGATGTCAGTTCGAGATGAAAACTCTAAATCTAATTCTTAACCTTAACCATCAACTATAAATCATAATTCTAATTGCTCACACACTGGTTCATAACCCTCATTTGATCCTAGTTATTAGGTGAGCACTCTCAGGGTCAGTCTGGCGTCATTCAAAGGTCGTCCATAAATTATAGTCTCACCAATTATTCTATGAAAGTGCGATATAATAGTTATATTAATGAAGTTAACCTAGTACAAACAGATTTATTGTCTATGATAATACGTCAAATGGAGCTAAATAGATGTAGTGGTTAGGTTTACATGTCACGATGATTCAATATAACTATATTGGCTGGAACACTTATTGTTTCTGGTTCTACCATAGTAGGTAGGTTGATTGGAAGACTGTAAGAACAAGGTAGCAAACTAATAATCCAAAGACAATGTCGTACTTTTGACTGTGAGATTTTCTTTTAGAACTCAATGTCTGTAATGATTTCGTCTTCCCATAATAGGAGGGGATTTGAAATGTTCGGAATATTAACAGAACATCTCGTCTTAGTCGTATTGTGGTGCATGCTACTTATGTCTGTCGACATAAGTAGTATATAACATCAATTAGAAGTGTTATAACTTGTGAATTGAATGCTGATTGTCGTGGCTCTTTTAACGCTACTTTTTATATCTAGTCGTCGCTGATTGTTATGTCGGAAACGCTTATCACCTATACTCAGAACGAGGGACCTCCGCAATTTCAACGACGTGAAAGTAAGAAAACAAAGTCTGGTATAAGTGAAGATTTATTAACCCCAAAACACGACGATGACGATAGTCAAAAATACATTCGTTTATATATTGATTGTACACACACTTTTATTAATAATTAGGATGAAATCACATATGACAAATCGTATACTGAGCATAGTTCATGTCAATTGAATATAAGAATATCGTATATTATACAGAATAATACAACACTACCGAATACTACACTGAATGATCATGACATTGAATCAAAACGGAAGTAATGCTGAACCAAAACTCACAATGAGTAAATCAATCGAATTTTGAATTTTCTTTCCATCATCTCAAGAAGTGAAAGGCCTGGCATTAGAAGGTCAGAAAGTTCGAATCGAACAGGACGGGAACAGAGAGTAATTGTAATAACAATGAAAGAACGATGACAGTTGATGTAGGATTTGCCAATTAAGTACTGAAAACTTGGAAGCACTAGACGAAACGGACGTTCAGTGCTTCCAGGTTTTCAATGCTGGTCTAACTTAGATCGGTTCATGATGTCAATGAAACAATAACATTCAGTTTATTTACTGTTGTAATTACGTTCTCTTAACCCCTGTTACATTTATTTCCAGTTTTTGAGTATTCAACGAACCCTTTTTTTACCATGCTTTCGTGTCCTTAATCTCCTTCAATTGTTGATATTCACTAATGACTTCGGACGCAACTATCATTTGCCATTTACCTTATTATATGTTGTAACTAACTTTTATGTTAGAATTAAAGGAAGTCTTTGTCTTTCCAGATATACAGACCTGTTAATCGTCACAGGTGTTACACGGGTGACCGCTTGTAACTAATTGATATATTGATATATCTGGCGAGGCCACTGAGGAGTCCCACAATAGGATGAAATGACCTTCCAATGCTTCTAAGTTTTCCATGGTGGTCTAGCTACAATTGACTTATGATCTAAACTATTGAAACTACTAAAATATCCACACAGAAAAACTCATTCTGATACTAAAATAATATTGTTTTTCATATGGTTATATTAGATTCTGAATCAGTTATGTCAACTAACTTGATAATCAACCTTATTATATACCAAAATGTTAATTATAGATTTTAAGTTCATCATTAAATGATGAATGGATAGTATACTGTTCAACTTTAAAAACGATTAACCATTTTAGAGATGCCAAATTATCAGTAGTATAGTAATATTGATGTTAATAGTATAATATAACTATAAATAATTATAGAAACTAAGAAAATACAATATGAAGGAGATGATATCTATGGTAATAATTAATGTTTCAATTACTTTACATACCATAATGAAATAAGAATGAGTCAAATTGTATATGTATATTCAATGTTACAATTATAGTCTTAGGTATTTTTGTAACTTATAACATGTAAAATCTATACATATGGTTATATCTATTGAAGGATCCAATCAAACGGAGGAAATACGCGTGAAACTATGGTTCAAAATAATGATTTATCTAAACAACTATTATATTTCCAATGATTGAAATCAAGAGTCAATTGAAACTAGACCATCATGGAAAAATCTGAAAGCACTGGATAGCCGTTCCGTCGGATTGTAGGACTCCTCAGCAGTGCTCATTCATGATCCCGACACGTGGGTTTCGAACTCAGGACCTTTGGTCTCATGTGTGAATATTTAACCTCTAGACCACTGGACTAGCCGGCATCCAATGGTGTTAATGTCTAACTTCAATCAATCCACGAAATCAAGCAACACATCCAACATTATCTTCAGTGAGTTATTATCTCACAACAGACCTGGTTGAACTCCACCGGTCACTGTCTCTCATTAGAACTTCAGAATATACTTCTTGAAGCGGGTCATTAATGAGCACATGCTGAATAGTATCAGAGTGCGTGTTTTGTATGGATATTATAGTAATTTCAATAACTGAGATCATGAGTCAATTGAAGCTGGACCACCATTAAAAACCTGGAAGCATTGGATGATTTTTCATCTTAGTATGGAACTCCTGACTAGTGCGCATCAACGAACTCGTCACTGGGGATCAAACCCAGAACCTTTAATTTCATGAATGAACGCTTAGTCTCTAGATAAATGAGCTGACATCCAATTATATTAATGTTTACCCTCAATCAATCCTCGACATTGCACGACCATCTTATATTGTTTTCGGTGTATAACTACCTAACTCGACACGGTTGAGCTACACTAATCATCTTATTATAAATCTGGAATTTTCCTCTCGAAACTAATTACTAGCGAGCATTTGATAATTTTCAGTATGGGGTTGTTTAGATTATTGAATTTCATTGAAATTATGAATGTTCCTTATTATATATTGAGGGGCCGCAGAGTAGATGGGCAGTGAATTTCGATCGGACCAAGGATGCGTAAAACACGTGCGAACGGCCTACAGTTCTGATTGGCCCTGCTTTCCTCCTAGCCCAGCCAGTTAAGTTCAGAACACCAATCTCAGCCTCTGCAATACGAATCGTTATATTTTAAACATACTGAGTTTATATATCAATCAAACAGACCACAACGTAGCACAAAATAGAAAATAATATTTGTACAAGAATTAGCCAAACGTGGCTGTGAATGTGAGAGGCAGTGACTAATAGACAGGGAATAATTCAAGAATGGTAAAACGTATAATAATGGTTCATAGGTTAAAATAAAGCTTACGACAAGAGGAATATGAATATGAATAGTTTAGTTAATTAAGAATAATACGATCAAAATATAAGTTTGGTATTGGTCCACAAATGGATCCCAAAATTACCATTCATTATTCTTGTCGGGACATAGCATTCCTATTGAACGTAAATGCAATCCACTTTCATCAAGCAGTACATTTAGAAATTATTAGAAATGTAACTGCTTACTGAATATTATTTGGTAGTATATTAATTAGTAATATAAAGCAATACACAGAATGAGTGGAACGAGGAAAGATTAAAGACAGAATACAAATCATGAAAATAATCATTATTATCTTAAAGTTATGTTAACTATTGTCTGTTCACATGTATTATTCTCATTTAGACTTGGCTTAAGTCTTTCCGACATCAGTACTAATGTTTGTAGAGATTAATGAATGTTATTGATATCCCTAACCGATCTAAGTTAGATAATTATTGGAAACTAAGAAGCACTAGACAGATGATTTTTATTCTAATGTGGGATTTCTCAATAGTGCACATGTACGACCAAGCCACCAGGAATTTTATCCAAAACCCTCAGGTCTCTTAGGGATAGGTCTAAATTCGAGATACTGATCCATCATCCATTGATTTACATGTCTAACTTCAATCCATTCACGACATTGTGTAAACATATCCATCTGTCTTCTATAGATAACTGCCTAAACCCAACACAGCTTAATTCTACTACTTATGACCTTTCAGTAGAATTCGTCTAGATAAAATAACCACATTCCTTGGTGTGAATTACTCAATTGATTCCAATTTACGAATATGTTTTTCTTTTATGAACAAACGAGTGAACAGGATTTTCAGAACAAAGTTTACCACATCAATATATCAAAACACCTTATCAGTTGAATTATAAATGGTTCAAAGTTAAGAAACGAGATGTTTGAATACAAGAAACAAAAAATTTGACATATTGAAGTTGAACAAATGTCTAGTTTACATTACCAATAAACAAGTATTGTAAACCAGAATCTTTGAATGTCTGTTTCGTCCCAGTATGTGATCCACAAGTTGTATGCAACTACGATAACGCCACGAAATCAACCTAGGACTTCCTGATTTCTAGGCGCGGGTTTAAACTTCAAACTTATAGACCAATAATAATCATTCTGTTACTCGTGACTAGCCTAATAAAGTGATTCCAGTAGTTCTAGTGGGAGGCCTTGACATATGGAACTCATATATATTGAATGTGAGTCAGATGCTTATAAAAAGCTTACAAAGATGACTGTGCAATAACATGAATAGATTGACGTTATACTTGTAAACCGTTGAATGTTCTCTGAATAGTTTGAAGTTTTGTCATTCCCCTCGTCACCTGAACGTGATGTACTCAATCTGTGGTAGGTTTGTGAATGTACCTTACCGAGGAGTTATCATACTAAAACTAATTAACCACTTAGTACTTTCTGAATTTCTATTTAACATCAGTTCATGATTAAAACTATGAAATTTGATCATTTCTTCAAACATTCCATGGTAAAACTGAAGTACAAATGTAACTAGTCTATATATATATATATGTATCATTATCCTTATATTGATTTTTTGTTTTTCAGTATGGTCGAAATGCATTACATTTTGTCTCAAAAAATGGTCATATCGATGCCCTATACTACTTATTGTCGGTGGAACCAATTAAAACAAAAATCAATGAATTAGTAAGTAATTGATCATTAACAGTTAAAACGAACCAACGTTACATTTGATCTTTTAACTGTATAGTAGTAGTTAACAACGAACCAAAAAAGAAGGATGAATTCTCTAATGTAGGTAACATTATGTCTAGTATGATTGCTAATCAACCTAAAATGATGAAAAGTTCAACATTTAAAAGAATCGAGAATATAAATGGAACTATGGTATGTATAAATCGTCAAAATCTATGTCCCCTAACATCTCCAAAAAATTGATCCTCAGCATTGCTCAGGCATCAACACAGATAGTGTCAACACCAATCATCATCACTCAGATTAGAAATCAATGACTTAATGGATAGACATTATATTTTGATTTAATCATGGTATTAAGGATTAAGAACGATCTAGTACATCTATTACCTAACAAACTTTAGTTGTATTTTAGAATTTAAAAACTGAAGAGAGTTGGCAGTAAAACGTACTTGACTTTCGGGTTTATGCTGGTTGGTAGTCATTAGTAAGGAGTGCCTGAAATCTCGTCCTAATCGATACTCCATATTGGATTATATCATGTATTACTCAATTTTATGGTTTGAGACGTTAACACTGGCGTGATTACTTACAATCGCTTGAAATTTAAACATAGAGCATATGATATCTATCCAATTATACTAGTGACCATACCGTAATAGTAATCTTCTCAGGGTCCACATATTCCAGTAAAAATAGAATAACAACAATTTTGAATATTAACAAGAGAATAATATAAGTTCTTATTTATGAACAAATGTCCTAGATTCCACCATAACTATTCGAAGTCTTGCTTTACTTATTACTGGAAATATTTGTCAGTAGTATAATTCTATATAGAAAATAACTCTCATTTCTCCCCTAGATCCGAATCCTATCTATTCAAACCTTTAAAAAGTTATCCACTTAGTTGTCTGTTTTGTACAAACCTGTGACATAATGGCTATAATAAGGTAACCCACATAGAATTCACATATGCTAACTAAGACTGAATAAAATTCAGTCAAAATATCGACACTGGGGTAAACCTAAAACACTACAAATTCAATTAGAATTCATATCGTTTGATCAAGTAAGTGGCTGACTGAAATCAATAGATAAGTCGGTGATACGCTGGGTTTTTGAAACGAAAGGTAGTTATTACAAATTGCAGAGTGAAACGACGAGCCGTCTCTTTGGCAGTTATATCTAGCTAACGAGTTCCAAATAGGATGAAACTCTCATTCTCGATTCCACTACTAACTAAATTTCGTCTATTCCGTCTAAGCAATCTCTGTTCTAAAATGTGATTATGGAACTGTTTTATTTAACAAATCAAATGTTAAGCAATCCTATCGTAGAAAGTTAATGTCAAAATGATTAAAGCACTCAAACTTCTGTCTGAAAATCTTCGAATTTAAATCTTATTTTGCTTAATTCGAATTGTCCTTCTTCAACATCTACATTTCTATTATCCTTGCACTGATAAGAAGGATTTAACAAGTCGCTAAATGATAATTATTCATTTTAAAATTCGCCTAAGTCTTTACAAATTCAGTTATTGACTATTTCAGTGTGTTATTATCTAGTTTATCATGATAATTTCCGTTGTATATTCACTCAGTTTTAATATCTGTTTGGTAGGGACGTTGAAAGCGTGGATAGATTGTACTGAGGGGATAGTGTTGAAAAGTAATTGGACACGTCCCGACCGTTGTCACTACCTCGAAGTGGTAGTCCGGCTTGCCTATTGTGATGAAGCAACCGAGACATACTGGTTGGAACAATCGTTCCTCAAGGTCCTACCATGTCAGATAGGTCGGTTGAAGAGCGATAAGACTAAAAGCAACAAACCCAAGGTCCGAAGACGAAGTCGTAATGCCGACTGTACAGAGGTGTAACGGCAGTCAGGTGTTTCCTTCGGACAACCAGCATAACAGCGATGCTGCCTTCCCACAAGGAGGGGTGGGGTTAGAAAAGGTCGACTTTAGAAATGCACATCTCGCGCTATCCCATGGATATCAGTCTTGGGCGGTAAGGTCTCCACAAGTACGGAGCTAACATAAGGATTACTCACAAAATGGTCGTGTGTGACCGACCTCAAGCAGTTGTCCCTTGGGCACTGCTGTCACGCTTTCAGATCACTAAGAACACCTGTAATCCAATTTCATTTTGAGGTATCTCCAGGAGAACCCTTCCACAGTGTGGGCAACTGGGTAGTGATAAATGCCTTCATACCCCTAACAGCGCTCAAGACCACTGACTGAATTGGATACGTTCATTCTTTTCAATCACTTTTGCATTGAAGTTTTCGCACTATAAAACAGGAGCAAATTATAACAGTGGTGACAAAAATATTCCAGTTACAATAAATTCTCTTCTAATTAGCCTGAAATCCTTAACCTTCATTAATAATACATTCCGACTGATACGATAAACTTATTGCTGAGATTAACGTACGCTTCTTCCCCATTAATCCATTGGTTCCCCGATTCGATTATAAATAAGAAAAGACAGAAGCCTAGCTTCAATTATTATATTTTAACAGCCCAGCTTCTATTTCAAATACTCATTAGCTTACATACATGAATTGTCGGACTGAAAGCCATACCAAATACAAAATCATACTTTGTATACAATCATGCTATAATTGACAGAGAGTGGTATGATAAAACGAATAATGACAGCTATTAAGTTCACCAGAAGCTTACGATAAAGAGAGTATGGAAATACAATGACAGTTATCTACTAATGATACAATGGAAGTGTCAATAATAATAATAATTCATAAAGTAACCCTAAGAGTTATACTTCTACATTCAATCATCCATAGCACTTGATATTGATAAATGATGATTACTTCAGTTAGACAATTCACAATTGATTGATAACTGAACGGACTTACAACTACTGAATGAATTCTATCAATTATATGACAATGTGAAAGCTGGTTTAAGTGAATCGACCTCGTGTAGGTGTTTCGAAGTAGTCAAGTCAGTTTTAACGACTTACACTGTGAAACTGAGTGATACAGGTTTGAATCTTATAGAGAGCATCAGTGCACTCAAGACAACAGGCACACCGTATTGATAATGTTCCGTCAACAAGGAACCCAGATCAAGAAGGATTTCCTGAAGACTAACTAACAGTATATGAATGTTGTTAATTTGTCATTTATGTAAAACTATACATGCCTGGCATTATATATATACTGTCTTTTATTAATTTCATTTTAGGATAATTCAGGATGTAGTCCATTACATTTGGCCTGTGAAAACAATCAACAACATTGTGTTCGACTACTTCTAGAAACTGGTGCAAATCCAGACATTGAAACAGAGGTTGGATTATTTTTAGCTTTCTGCTAAGTTTCATAAAAATTAATTATTGTTTTTTTTGAAAATAGACAGTAATTAAGCAATAGTTTCTACTTGGTGCGTCTATTAATATGGTATCATCAAATGCTCTGGTACTGATGAGGGTGAGACAAATCTTCTCCATCTCTCGAAATTCCATTATAAGTGGGTCCTACTTATCAGATGGGCCATTTCATGGAAATGAAAGGACTAAAAGCAAATATCCAAAGACTTAATCGGATTGACAGATTAGGAGGGTTCATCCAGGAGATCTGTAAAATTCTACTTCCAAACTAGTGGTGTAAATAAGCTCCAGTATCCTTAGTTAACAAATAGCCTGTAAACCTATTTTAGTCACTGGTTGTCATGGGAAGCCATCTACTGACGTTACTACATTACCTTGTGGGTTAGACTTCTAGCTCGTAGGTTCGGGGAGTGACCATGTAGTAAAACCAACAGCTTCTGTATGAGAACTCCAGGAGTATCCCATCTCACACAAATGTTATGATACCTCAAAGTACATAATGTGATGAGTCTGATAAACTGAACACTGGTGTTTACTGGTTTGCACCTTAGCTACGCAACTTCCTTCATCCTTCATCAGTTACAATTAATTATAATGTCACTCAATAATTCACATGACATATTCACTTTTGTGTACAGTCAGTTAATTTTGTGCCACAATCTCATCAAACATAATAAGAATAATTTTCATTGAGAGGTTTTAGTGGAGATTACTATGATTTAAGAATAGGAAGCTTTTGTTTTAAAAAATGCCATGACAGTTTTAATAGTACCACTTGTCAAAACAAAAATATAATCACGCGTTCATTAGGGACTTACCTTGAATTTCTAGTGTACTATTGTAACTCTGTCAATCAGTAACAACGTAGAACTTCGTACGTACATACATCAGTTCAAGTTGCCATACCACAGATACAATTAGCACACAGATACAATTGTCGATTCAAATCCCATAGTGGTAGAGGTAGTAAGAGTATAAGCAGTAATCCGAAAGATTAGGGTTTGAAGATATTATTCAAGGAGTATAATATAGTGAAATAAATTTGGAAAGAGAAAAAATAAAGGGACATGGAGAATTCAGAAGATTAGAATTTGAGAGAACACAAAGAGTGGATACATCTGCGCAATCGCAAACAATTTTCAGCCATGTCACATTCAAGGTCTCTAACCATCGGTTGCTATCATCTCGCGGATCCCAAACAGATAGTCTACACCTACCGACATGGCTCAGTCCACTTGTCAGTGACTTCATGGATTTGTTCCACGTTTTGTTCTAGCTGCCTCTAGCTTTCTTCCATCTTACTCCTACACCATAAAACATCACTCGTCGGGGCAGTCGTTGGTTTGACATGCGTAACACATGTTCCAGCCATCTTAAATGATGAAGCTTCACTACTTCATCAATTAATTAGTCATTCTTACCTAGTACACATTTTCTTATAACTACATTACTTACTCGATGGTTCTAGGATATACGAACAATGCTTCGAAGACACCTATAATCGAATACTAGTAACCTACGAATATCCTCTACTCTTACCGGCCATATTTCACAGCCATAAAGTAGGACGGGACGAACTGCTGCGCAGTGAACCCGTCCTTTGGTTGGTAGATGGATATCTCGTCTATGCCATAAATGACGCGATTTAGCAAAAGTTAGTCGAGCCTTCTGTATCCGTCCTGAGATTTCGTCATACAACTATTGTAACTGATGTAGATTTAGCTAGTTAGTCAAGAAAATGATAATCATGGTTAGTGATAATGAATCATCTTCGTGTACTAGATTAAAAATTGTTTAAAGTTGACAATGCAGAACATTAAATTCTAATAAACTAGTGCAAATCTTCAGCCCTCATGTCATGATATAAAGTTCCTAGTTTAAATCATCGACATGAATTCATGAATGTACATAGTCGAAGACAAAGAATCCGTTAAATACATACTCCTTAGTTTTCTCTAATAATTCAGCTTAATCCATTTTGTAACTAAAGGTACAATTAACGGATGAAAATGTCAGTTTGCTTTATATATTAACTCAAAAGTAACTAATTTCATTCAGTTCCTGTTATAACGGTTGGGTTTCCAACGTTTACATGTATGGGACGTTAATTTACCTTAGACCAAATATCTACATTAGATTCCCTCCCAATGTCTATTCCACAGGAATTCAACACAGTTCAGATGATCAAGAACACGTGATTAGCCTAACCACAATGTAAATATATTTCCACATCAAAAACCCGACACAATCCAGCAACAATTAATAATCAGTGTCATATAATAATAAGGATAGGGAAATATATAACTCATCTGACACCTATCAGACTATCTACATATCTGAATCAGCAAACAACCAATCATTATCATTCGCGCCCACACATCAGTTCCTATTAGTAGCTAACAAGTGTTCCCTCATTTTGAATGATACCTCCTAACCGATGTTGATCCGATATGAATACTATCTACAAAGCATAAAAATCAATAATAATAACTAATGTAAACTGACAGGAATATAAGGAAGATGAGATATAGACACTGATCGAGTTCAATCATTTCTTAATTCAGATGGATATTGATTTATTGGGTCTGTTATCGTTTAATACAAGGTAAATGCGTCATCATTTTTCGTTTTGAACATAGATCTCTATCTTATAACTAACCTGACAAATACTGCTTCAGTCGTTTGATGATCTCTGAGTATGATCAATTTAACCGGCTTACTCTTAACATGATCAATTGTTATTGAAGATAATTGTTTCATACTGAATGGCTTTCTGACCTTACTTACTTACCTACACATGTTACTCCTCGTGAAGGAGCATAGGCCGCCGACCAGCTGTCTATATCCAATCCCTTCAGGATTCCAAGTTAGGGCTTACCTCGTGATGGAGTTTGATTATTTCCAAAATGTATGTCCTATCCACCTCCGAGCAACGGACATTGAGTATCTTATTTAGACAATTGTTTATAAATACTTGTACTTTGTTGATGTAGGTTGTGGTAGTAGTTGTCAAAAATTCAGCTCCGTACAGTAGAACTGTTTTGATGTTTGCATTGAAGATCGTGACTTTGATGTTGGTTGGCAGACCGTTGTTTTGAGTTCTATATGTTTTTTTACCTGCAGGAATGCCGTTTAGTATATCAATAGTTTAATATATATTTGTTTGAACCATTTATATTTGTCGTAGTATATATACTGGTTCTAGACGGTATTTAGTTCTTGATCAGTTGTCCGATATTTATATCAGAAGTAGTTTTTGTGGATATTATAGTAATTTCAATAGGTAAGATCATGAGTCAATTAAAGCTAGACCATCATGGAAAAATCTGAAAGCAGTAGACAGCCGTTTCGTCCGATTGTGGGACTCCTCAGCAGTACACATTCACGATCCCGACTCACGAGGTTTGAATCCAGGACCCATCAGTCTCGCGCGTGAACGGTAAACGTATAGTCCACTGAGCTGACCGGCATCCAACGATGTTAATGTCTAACTTCAACTAATCTGTGAAATTAAGCGACGCATCCACCATTATCATCGGTGAGTTACTATCTCACAATAGACCCGGTTGAACTTCACTGGTCACTGCTTCCAAGTTTTCCATAGTGGTCCAGTTTCGATTAACTCATGATCTCGATATTTATATATATGTATGTCATATGAACCTGTATCTAGCGTCGAGTCAAATATAGATAATAAACGACATTATAGTAAAAGATTCAAACAAATTTGAAGTTAATTTGTGTTAATTTCCTTCATACTTTCTAGGTTCTTTTAAAATCAAACGTTTTTTTTCAACTTTTAGACTCGTGATTGTCCTTTGATCGAATGTTCTCGGAGAGGATTTCACAAGTGTATTGATTTGCTTATTGAAAATAAAGCAAGTCGTGAGAAAACAAGCAAAGTAAGCTAATAATGTACACATAACATATATGTGTATACTGATCAGTTAGTTAGTCGTAATCAATGTTGTTTTTAAGGAAAGACGGATAGTGGCTAGCAGTGGAATCCAGGGCGTGAGTTTCCCCCCTCATTTGGGACTCGTCAGCTGGATGCACCTGCATCTCAGAGTTGACATCCACTCTGCTACTCGAACCCAGTACCGTTCGCTTCAAACGCCATTGCGTTATCCACTTAGCTTTTGAAACCTGATAACCATCTGTTTGTGCAATGAGGTGAAGTTTAAATTCACTTGTTATTGTTTACTTGAATCTTCAAATTGTATTTAGGACTGCAGTTGATCAGTCCCTTATTGGCATATGTGCTTACTGTGCGTATTGACTCGATATTACCTTAATTCATAAGTATTATATCCAAAGATGGATAGTGGCTAGCAGTGGAATTCAGTTTGAAGCGTGTTTCGTCCTATTTGGGACTTGTCAGCTGAATATACCTGCATCTCTGAGTTGATGTTCACCCTTAGACTCGAACTCAGTACCGTTCCCTTCAAACGCCAATGAAAAGATACAAGTAAACAACATCAAGTGAATACAATGTTGTTTTTGTCTATTCTTCATTTAGTGCTGATCAAATCCTGTTGATCAATTTGCAATTTACGGTGACCTTTAATTGTCAAACTGAATTGAAATAGTGTAGAGTATTTCGTACAATAATTGATTGATAGAAATATCCAAAATGTTATAGACTGAGTTGAATAGTAGTAATGTTTCTTAATGTAATACTGAGTAATGCTGGTTTGATTCTCATGTGGAATGATAGTTCTTTTAAGTATGCAGTTACGTTTTAATGAACAGTTGGAGAAATAGTGCGTATTTGTTAGACAGTCTTACTGATATAGGGAGCTGTTTGATGAACGCTTAATTGAATGCTATTAGTTTTTACAAGATATGGAATTGTTAGGTTATGACATAACAATCGAAATAACATATAGGGGATCATTGGGACGTTATTATCTTCTATGCTAGAACTTCACAGTAGTACAATGATTGGTAACTTATGCCCAATTTATTCAATCCTTAGTACTTGCGATTAAGCTGTGACGCGATCAGTAGTTCAAATAACTTGACATCTCGTTGGTTAAAGATAACTATCACAAAATTCGAAGATTAATAATGTCTATAACTGTGCTGTTGGGTTACACAGGTTTGGATCCCACGAGGGGGATGTCAGTTCCTTCATCATTATATGTACGTCCTCTCAACAAATACTAAACAGGTTTTCTTATCGATTACTTCCAACTACGTAAGATCTCTAAAGTGTATGTTAGTTGTTACAGTGAAATAAGACATAAATAATACATAGAAATAATTCATTTAAGTATTATATATATATACAATATACTATTAGTAATACCATTGTTTAACATGTTCTTTTTTTAGGTGGGTGATACAGCTTTACATGTTGCAGCATTATCTAATCTTTCAGATACCATCTATTTTTTATTCTCAAGAAAATTTGATCTTTGCACTGTCAAAGAGGTAAGTTTCTTTGGATACATTACTTTATTTCAAAATAAAAAGACGGGTTAGTTACAGTCTGTTTATTTTGTATGCTTGCAATTACCGTTGCTAACTCTCTCCAGTGGTGAAGTATGTGGTATAATAGTGATATCATTAGATAGTTCGTAAGTTATATAGTTCGGGTAAAATAGTTGATTATTTCGATGGGAAGTATTTAGACTAAATACTAACATTCTAAACTTCATAAATCCTAAAGAGTAAATTAGTTCTATTCAGATTGTTAGTTATCCCTTACTGATGAGTATCCACTAGAACGAAACCTAGATTAATCAGAGTTCCTTACTGATTGCCTTCAACCACATAATATAACATTCTAGTTTGTTGATAGAAGTTTTTCTACTTCATATTGTGTTGCTAAGTAGTCTGAACAGTCTTATCGGAACATTTATCTTGTTAATGTGTCAATTAATGTTATTCATTCAACTATTCTTCCATTATAATTTTTTAGGCTGGTTAAGATGTATACATAAGTGTACAAAAGAGTTATACTCTATCCATTGATAGACTGGATTTGAATGATAAATAATCAACTGCTTTTGATGTATTACGTTGGTTCTGTAAGCGATATATGATCTTATAATATTTAAAAGCAAGAAACAGACTTATTATTGAACATCTCTAACCATTTAATTACACGCACCTTAATCAGAAAGTGAATCTGGTATTCGTCTTGTTGTAATAATGAGGTATAACAACTTGGACCGATGCACATATATGGCTGGTCTTACATTGTAGCTGACTGACTGACTGACTGACTGACTGACTGACTGACTGACTGACTGACTGACTGACTGACTGACTAAATCAGACAGTAGCCTACAGTTGTGTACCTGTCTTATCCCAACAATCAATGATATCAAATGTTCATTTAGTCACAGCTAACTATTTTTCAACCTTCAGATGTTTTGACAATGGAAATTCATATGTTCGATTAAGATTGTGATGGACCAAATAATATATGAACTCAAAAATGATAACAAAGTTATTAAGTACAAACAGAAATGTTAGTATATATCAGTTAAACGTTATAAACACAACAAAAATTAGAGAAGTTACTAAATCCAGTAGGTTTGTACGTGTTCTGGTTGAGTTTGGCATCAAAATCCACAATTATAGATGATTGAAGATTCCATCAAGTTTGATGTTCTTCCAGTGATATAAATGTAGACGATAGTCGATTTAGGGTTCAGTTAACACGACCACGATCAATAAAGAACAAGAGGTATGTGCGTAACAGTGTATTTATTAGTAGGTAACAACATGTGTCATGCTATGAGTGTAACACGACAGAAGAAAATGTGTGTTCAAAGTTATACACTTAAACAACACGTACAATCATTTAATGATAAATGTATATGCAGTGAAAAATTGACAGAACAAATAGAAATAACATCGAAACTTACTTACTTACGCCTGTTACTCCTCGTGAAGGAGCATAGGCCGCTCACCAGCATTCTCCATCCAACCCTGTCCTGGGCAATCCTTTCAAGCTCTTTCCAGTTCTTATTCATCTTTTTCATATCTGCTTCTATTTCCCGACGTAATGTGTTCTTTGGCCTTCCTCTTTTCCGCTTCCCTTCAGGATTCCAAGTTAGCGCTTGTCTCGTAATGCAGTTTGATGATTTCCTCAATGTATGTCCTATCCATTTCCATCGTCTTTTCCTAATTTCCTCTTCAGCTGGAAGCTGGTTGGTTCTCTCCCACAAAAGGCTGTTGCTGATGGTATCCGGCCAATGGATGTTGAGTATCATGCGTAGACAGCTATTAATAAATACCTGTACCTTCTTGATGGTGGTTGTTGTAGTTCTCCAAGTTTCAGCTCCGTACAGTAGAACTGCCTTGACGTTCGTATTGAAGATTCTGACTTTGATATTGGTTAACAGACAGTTGTTTTGAGTTCCATATGTTCTTCAGTTGAAGGAATGCCGCTCTAGCTTTGCCAATCCTCGCCTTGACGTCTGCATCTGAACCTCCTTGTTTATCGACGATGCTTCCCAGGTATGTGAAGGATTCCACGTCTTCCAGAGTTTCGCCATCAAGAGTGATTGGATTGCTGTTCTCCGTGTTGTATTTGAGGACCTTGGTTTTCCCTTTGTGTATGTTGAGGCCTACTGATGCAGAGACTACTGCTATGCTGGCTGTCTTTATCTGCATTTGTTCGTGTGTATGTGATAGGAGGGCTAGGTCATCTGCGAAGTCCAAGTCGTCTAATTGGTTCTGAGCTGTCCATCGTATGCCGTAGTTTCTCTCAGATGTCGAGGTCTTCATAATCCAGTCGACCACCAGAAGAAACAGGAAGGGAGAGAGTAGACAGCCTTGTCTTACTCTGGTCCTTACTTGGAATGCGTCTGTCAGCTGTCCTCCATGCACTACTTTGCACTGTAGTCCGTCGTATGAGTTCCGGATAATGTTGACAATCTTCTCAGGAACTCCGTAGTGTCGAAGAAGTTTCCATAACGTCCTAATAGAAATAACATCGAAAACTATTTACAAAATAAGCTTCCCATGCATATCTCTACAAGGTTATCCACAATGTTTTAAATGTTCTATTTAACACTTTTAACTGTTTTCACGATAATATAGTACATGATTGATGAACATTAGTGTAGGTTTTCTTTGAAGATCTTATTTGAAGCTCCAGCTTTGATATGTCAAACTGGGCTACACTCTTAATATTGAAATCTTCCAGGAAAATTAAGCTCTAATATACAACATTCACTTATAAAATGAACCGTAAAATGTACGAGAACAGTATATCTGTTGTGTGGATTACTTATATTTACACGAGTAGTATATAACGGTGGTCAAGCATAGAATGTATTTCAGTAGAAGATAGATGAGGAAAGAACGGGAAAGGAATGCAGTTGGTATGAAAATGCATGAACAATGATATCTGAGATGATGGATTGATGTTTGCTACAGGAACGGTCAAGTTTAAGATTTACTATATGGTTCTCAGATTTTATTGAGATGCTCTGTAATTTCGTGTCAAATACATTCGATTGTCCCCACTCGTGTTATCGTTCACTGCATATATATCGAACATTAGGAACAGTCATTTTCACTTCTCCTGTCAACCAACCAGCCAGCCATCCTCGAACTGGTAGAAGATAATTAGTCAACTAATGGGATATTTTCCTCCTACATGGCTAAACTAGTCACAATTGAACTCATACATTCAATCTCAATATGCTACACTAAGTAACAGAGATGTTAACTAATTCAAGTAGAGTTTTCTTGTGTCTGATAAGCGGAATAGTTGGCGGACCAATGTCATAAAATTATATGTGTCTATTATTCTTTGGTTTTTGTAGGATAAACAAACTCCATTGCATCTTGCAGTTTCACAAAATAGACTTGAAGCAGTTGAAGCTTTATTGTTTTGTGGTGCTCCATTAGATCTGAAGGATAAAGTAAGCAACTGTAGTTTTGTTTTTAAATTTATATTTTGAAATTCACAGATGTTTTCTTCGTCCTATTCAGGACTGATCAGATGGGTGTACTTGCATCCAAGAGTGATGTTCATGTTGAAACTTAAACACCGATATCTTTCGGATTACCGTTTGAACAGAAAGACACTGTGTTTGAGTCTGAATGTGGACATCAACTCTGGGATGCCTGGAGACCCATCTAACGATTCCTAAATAGGAAGAAACGCGCATCTTGAAATCCACTGCTAGACAACGTTCATCTTTTCTATAAAAAACTTGGGAAAAATCACTGTCTCGGCAATCCGTACAATGTCCCAAATAATACTGATCGAAATTCAGTGCTGAATATTACCAACGGAATAGCTTGGTCCTTTTCTAACAATGATATTTATACTCGGATTGTTTTCATAAACTGGTTCGATTAAGGATTTTTCTATGTTTACATAAAGCATCAATGTAAACTAGGCTCTAGTAGACACGTTGTGCAGTAGACTTAAGATTGTAGTGTACTGTGTGAAGCAAGTGACAAGAAGCTGCCGACTGAGATTATCTCAGTCAGATTCGATTATAATCCTTAGGGTACTTATCCATGATATTTCAAACAGTAGCACAGATGTTATAACCAAGTTATTTTCATGACAACTAACATCTTATTAGACTGAGCTATTTGAACCAATCGTTTACTAATATAGTCAAGCGCCCATCTCACAACCTGATCAGTACTATTGGCAGGGAAAAAAATAATACTGGTTATTATTCAACGACATTAGCTGTAAACGTCTCGCTCATATAGAAGTTCACTTCTTATATTAGCAGCCTTGATGGGAGATGATAACATTACTGACAGAGAAACCGAGGAAATTTACTTTGAATAATAAGACCTATACTTATTGGTACTTTACTAATCAATGAGTGATGTCTTCTCTGAATATCATCAGTCGTTATCAGCCCTCTATCAGCTCGTCAATTCTTCTCAAAGTAAATCTCCACCATCTCAAAGTCCCAGTCACATGAATGCTTCGATTCAAGTTGTCAGTACAGTGAAATGAATTTGCAACAATAAATGATAGGAGTTGCTAATGATTCTGAACCATGTCATCCAACGTCTTTAACTATTGGTCACAATAATCTACATGAACCATCATAAAACAGACTTACTTACTTACTTACTCCTGTTACTCCCATTGGAGCATATGCCTCCAAACCACTTTGTCATGGGCCTTCCTTTCTAATTGTATTCAATTCTTGTTCATTTTCCTCATTTCTGTCTCCATTTTTCGGCGCAATGTGCTCTTTGGTCTTTGTCTTCTCCTTTGATCTTGAGGATTCCAAGTGATGAGATACTTTCCTCAAATCATAAAACAAACCGACACTATATGATATCATCGATTAAAAATATACCTTGGTTTATCCGCCTCTAGATCCCAACTTCTTAATTAACATTGAACGTATATTTTTTTTTCTAGGACAATCAAACTCCTTTGATGATTGCTGCCAAATCAAATTACACTGCATTAGTTGATATGATAATACGTGCTGATCGATGGAATAAAACTTATCCGGTAAGAGAGAGAGAGAGAGAGGTACAGAGTATTGGAAAGTTCTCTTGATTACGTAATTCTGTTTATAGTTCGATCGGAGATATATTGCAATGTTATTTTTTTGTTTTTTCAATTTCATTTTAACTAATGTAATTAATTGAGCTGTTGCGCAATATTTCTGAATGTTAAATACGGCAAAATGTAAATAATGACACGTAATTGGTCAGTATATTTTATTTTAAGCAAAGATGGATACAGGTACATGCAGCTGACGAGTCTCAAATAGGACGAAACGCGCGTTCTGGATCCCACTACTAGCTACTATCCATCTTTGAGTAAAATGACTAGTATATTTTATTGTTGATGTATATCCTATGATTGAATAGGATTCAGGTAGATTGAAATGGATGGATAATTAGGGTAGTTTGTTGATTTCAACAACACTAAAAGCCGTGTAAGCCGAGTTTAAATCACATATATCAATTGAAGAACACTTAGTGTGCAGTGAATCTTCATCGAACGAGATGCTTAGAACATATATTATAGATGTCTAACCATCCCCTACCTCTACATGCGGTGTTGCTTTGTGTGAAAACCTCCTGGAGGAAAGATATGGGTTGTTAAACTAACATGTGATGTCACTCGATGAAATCACGGTCTGTTAATCTGAATCGTGTAGGTAGACTATTTGGTTGGAGTCATCACCATTATCATAATCAGAATTTTTCGACGCTGAGTGACACGGTTCGAAACTGGCCTCAATAGCAAATCTATTCACTGAACAACACATTCTTGATATTTACATAATACAATGAATGTTTTCCGTTTATCCAAAAATCACAGTTTACATCATCAACTGACGTTAAATGGAAAAAAAGTTGCAGACCATAAAGCACTGGAAAGTTTTTCCACTGAATATGCCACAGGTATTTGGAGTTTGACAACGCTTTAACCAGTAACACCTAATATGAAGCGTACCCACCAAGTGAAATCAAAAGACAGAAGCTAGGAGATCGAAGATATATTTGATAAGTTATCAATATATCGAGGATCGTTTGAACTAATCCGGCTAGTGACTGCGGCAGATGTTGAGCACGGCGTTCCCACACGTGATCTGATGCGGATGAGATAGTTACATTTTGTGATAAATATCTATTCACCTAGTTATTAGTATATTATCTTACTTAATTCATATTTCTTTTTTTCTTCCTTTTTTTTCTCCACATTTTTTCGGATCATAATCAACTAGGTTAATGCTCAAAAATTGATTGATGAAATTTTACAAACACAACAAACGAAATATGTAACAACAAGAATATTAGACAAAAAACAAAATAACACACAGGGGACACAAGAAGTAAGTAATCAATATTATCGATTTATCAATAAAGTGTGTAATAAACAATCAGTTGATTAAGTTAATTGATTGATCATAAAACTTAAAGAAAAATTGATCGATAGGATTTGATCTGCATTGATCAACATTCAGTGATCAATCAATTGTAAATACTACTCAGTCCTAAAGGAAGTCGATCGCGACATGGATGGCTCAGTGTTAATGTCCCTGACTGTGAAGCTGGGTGACACGTGGTCGAATGTGCAGGGAGCATCAGTTCCCTCAGGATTACAGATACACCTTGTTGATGAGTGTCATGTGACACGAAGCATATGTTCAGGGTTTCCTGTTGAATACCTCAAACCACCATCTAATCTCAGCATAGTGCACTCAATGTTGATTCATCTGGATGAGTGGCCGCATCGCAACTTGGTCGATAGTATTCGATGTGCACTACGAAGGATCTGACATACGTGACATCGACCACCTCCTAGTAATCAATCAGTTGCAAGTACTTGGAGAAAATCTTTTTGATCCTTTTTTGGAAAGACCACCGTTTGTCGCAATACAATTAGTGGATATTTCGGTACAATATCATCAATTATTTGAATAATTCAAAAACATTAGCTTTAGTGTAAATCAGGATTATTCAGGATGGGAACTAATGAATTTCTGAAATCACGAATTGATCTAAGCTATATGATGTCGTGATATTATAGACTAATTGAAGTTAAACGGGTATACCATTGAAGTTTGGTTCAGTGATCTCATGTTTAAGTGTTTACCTCGACCTACCTAATACCAAAACATATTGGCCACGAAGTTGAGTTACTAAGACTATGAATCGAATTTCACTTAAATCAATAAACTTCTATCTATAGTAATGGGACTAGACAAACATGATATCGGTCTCCACTCAGAGATCGGTCAATCATAACTCACGTAGCTGTGTTATTTGTGAATGTTACGGAACGAACATGAATGAACTAATGTCAATATTTTAGAAGTATTTTAGCTGTGTAAGATAAAAATCGTTTGCAAAACGTGTCACCTATAGGAAAAATGCGAAATCCTATACTACAATAAACTAAAAAGTGACTAAACCCATACACATTTATGGTAGATTAAATGAATATGAAAAGAGGTTCGTTGCATTAGAAAGATAATAGGTATTGTAACTAGAAAATGCAAGACGTACATCAAACTACTTATAAATAATAAGTAGTCGTACAACAAAAAATGCAAATATAGAATGCAAACAATGTTTTTATTAAGTTGAACTTTGATTGAGATCATGAACCGATTGATGTTAGACCACTATCGAGAACCCGTAAGCACTGAACAGCCATTTGATCTGACCGTGGAACTCCTCATCAGTGCACATCCACGATCACGCTCAAGGGATTCGAACGCAGGGTCTTCGGTCTTACACGTGAACGCTTAACATATAGACCACTGATCCGAAATCCAACGGTTTTAATGTCTAACCTCAACCAATCCACGAAATTGCGCAACCATCTTCCATTGTACTGAGGTATATACCTGTCTCTACCCGACAAGGATTAGCTCCAGTGGTCACGGCTTCTCAATAGAACTCTGAGATTTCCCTCATGATAATAAGAACGTCTAATTATGGTCATTCGGTTATGTAAACTTTGAACGATAAAACCTATCTAAACTCATTATACCAATAATAATCATTTACTTAGTGGTGACGTATTTCAAAAAATAATCCCTGTAGTTCAAATAAGGATCCATGATCAGTGAAGTTTGACTATTTTGAATGTGATCCAATAGCCAACCGATGGGACTAAAAAATGATTTTATCAAATCATAGATTGCTTAAAGTTTGTATTGTAAACTTATCGGTCTAAATGTCAAGCACTCATCTCAGAACTTGAATGTTTTAAGTTCTAATATTGATTGGTTCGAGGATTGACACGGCTATAGAATGCCATATCAGCATGAAAGGTTTGTTCAGTGTGCTTTTTGGTTTATACTCGTTGTCTAATCGACGTCAGTTCATGATTTACACTATGAAATTCAACAATCTCTATCTATCTATCTATCTATCTATCCACACATTTATCTATCTATCTTTTCACATTTCATAAGAATAAATTACCCTTTAATCAATTCTTTCTATTCACACATTGACAGATATTATCGGATGATCGAAAACACTTATTGAATGATAATACTGGTAGCCGTAATAACAATAAAAATAACGATACTACTGAAGATTCAGGAAGTAGTCAGACATATGTTGGACAACATCATGATTATCATCATCATCATCATCATCATCATCATCATCATCATCATCGCAATACTGATAATCATGAGAATAATCATGATGATGATGATGATGATAATGATGATGACGAAATCAAATTGTATGATACTTATCCAAGCAATCAATACTCTTATCCAATGATTTCACCAAATAATTCAATCATTTCAAATGATAATGATCCTAATGATGTGATGATGGCAGAATTTATTGATCCATTTAAACAATTACAATTAGAAGAAAATAATGAACAAATAAGTGGAACACAATTAATCATAGATCATCGTTCAAGGACTACAGCAAGTTCTGAATCAGGTAGTGAATTATCATTAGGTTATGAAGCAAGTCGTGCATGGAATAGATCAGGTCAAAGACAATATCAACATAATAATGATCAATTGAATAATTCATTGAGTCTATCACAAATTAGTTTGGGTCGTGATTTATCAGAACCAAATTTTAATCAAGAACATTATGATACAAATAATGATGATGATGATGATATTGATGTTGATAATTATCATCATCATCATCATCATCATCATCGAAAACATGGAAGTCTTAATAAGTTATCATGTCAAGTTCAAGGTGATGAGATTTATTTACCAAATGGTGAAACAATATTTCGTATTACAGATACATTATTAGCACAATCAAGTAAGAATATGCGTTTATTGAATGGATACGGTTTGAATTTAACACATCCATTTACATTTAGAGCACCATGTCAAGTGAGTTATTCTTTCTTTCTTTCTTTCTTTCGTTTGAATGTTTCAGTTGAAATAAGTTAGATTAATGAGAGTGATGTTTGAGATGGTATAGGTTAACAAGAATCAATCAACATCAATATCTACTGGACAAGCTGTGAACTACATGGGGAGACATTTCAAGGTTTCTACTGATGATATTGTTCAAAAGAATGATGAATGCTCCATGACCAAATCATCCAGCTTAAAGAACAAAACTCAATCAAAAAGTGTGATATTTGTTTTAAGCATAGAAAAATTAATGGACGAGTTTTATATGTTAAGCGATTAATTGGAATTATGCATTTACATTGGAGTTGAAAGTATTGATCATAGAAACACTTCGGGTAAACGTGTAAACGAAGAACAATCAAGCCGCTAGGATAATAATCATGGTGTTAATTGATTGATGTTATTCAATAAGAAAACCTGTTTAACTTAGGTTACATGTTAGTTGATACCTGCCATCATGATGAGACTGAAACATTCAGGGCTATATAAACATAGTATTGATCAGTCGATGCAAATATCTTAGTCTTACATAGAAGCTGTGAAACATAGAGTAAAACGAGTTCGAATCACTCAGGCAGTATCAACTCTCTACAGACTGTGGACGCATACCTTACTGATGAATATCAAATGGCATGAAACCCAATTTAAAAGTATCCTATCGACTGCCTTCGATTACCAACTTATATCTCAACGTATTGCACGAGGTGTAGCGTCACTTAGACTAGTGGCGACATTGAAACTTCATCAATATATTTCAATCAGCACCTAGGAAGGCATTGACATACATGACATGGATCACCACCCAGTAATCAATCAATTGTAAATACATCTTAGTCCTACAGGAAGTCGATCGCGATATGGATAGCTCAACGGTAATGTCTCTGACTGTAAACCTGGATACACCTTGCTGACAAGTGTCATGTAGCACGAAATCTATGTTTAGGGGTTCCTGTTAAATACCTCCAACCACCATCTTATCTCAATATACTGCACTCAATGATGAGTCACCTAGATTAATGTCCACATTGCAATTTGGTCAATAGTATTTGATGTGCACTACGAAGGACCTGACATACATGACTTTGATCACCACCCTATGTTCAACCAATTGCAAAAGCTTTTATCTTTCATTTGGAGTTCAAGCGTAGAGAAGATCTCTTGTTACGAGGTACTATGAAGCGATTAAAGTTATAATCTGCTGAAATAAATTTTACTTCTATCATTATATACTACTTATGTAGATATAAGTAGCTTACATCATAATTTTAAATTTCATTTTTTAGAATTATGCTGATGATATGAATGTTCTATTCTATGAATATTCACATCGATATGCAAAATCATCAGATTGGAAAAATTTAGCAAAATTTTGGGGATTCACATCAGATGATATAACTGCCATTGAATATCAAGATATTGGTATGTTGAATACATTATAATATTTTAAATACTTGATAGTTTATGTATAGTCATGGGGAATTACTTACTTACTCCTGTTACCCCTCGTGGCGAAGTATAAGCCGGCCACTAGAATTATAGATTTTCAGATGATTTTCGGATTAATGGTTAACACTACTTATACCATCAATAGTGGTTGAAACGATGAAGCATAGAGATAATGAACTCGTGTGTACTTCACTGTGAAATCAATCCTGAGTCATGTCACTGTTGGGTTGGCTTCCAAAAAAAGCAAGATGAAGCCTCCAGACCCTTTAAAGGTGATGAACAGATTCTATCTAATCATAACTTAATAGAGCCATTTAGAATATCAACGTGGCATCCTACGATTCGACGATAACATAACTTGCCTTCTTACGGATTGGGTGAATTATAATGATGTTATAGCCAATACTAATAACTATAAATACACATGTTTTTCTGTACATTTTTAATTCTTAACTAATAATCAATTCCCCTGTTTCTTCCGTCTTCTGGTCTGTGACTGTAGTGTTCTATGCATTCGCGTGCGGTTATTTGTATATCATATTCTATCGTAATCAAGTAAAGAACGTAACAACTACAGTGTATTTAATCATTGATTAAGATCATCATGTTGATCCCAACCAGATAGTATGTACCTATCTACACAACTTAATTTGACAGTCAGTGGATTTGTAAACTGATGTTATAAGGTAGTTTCACGGTTCATAGTTTTCTCTAAATCTACTCCGACATTAATAAACATAACGTCTCAACGTGTGGAGTGGATTGGCAAACATACTTCATGTTCCTAATGTCTCAATGGAATATTCACTTGTACATCAGTAAAACATGTGTAGATACCCTCAAATGTTTAAAGTGAAATCTCCGGTGAAAATTATACTCAAGGGTTCAAATAATCATACTATAAATGAACCGAGAAATGCCCAAAACTATTGACTTCTAGAATTACTTCATAACAATATAATCATCATATGTTTACAAGTAACTAAGTTCTGGGATTAATTCCAGGAGTTCTAATGAGAATCCATGATAAGTAGATTTTAACTATGAGATGGTGGAGAAGATTTGTAGCTCAGGTGGGTGATTTTGATGGAGTTTTGTTTTCTGAGCTGGATGGTTTGGTCGTGGAGCTTTCATCGTTCTTCTGAACGACATCATCAGCACAAACTTCAGAAAGAAGTGTGAAGTGTTCGAATTTCTCCATATGCGTTTCACAGCTTGTTCTGTGCACCTCGATGTTGATTGGTTCTTATTGACCTTAAGCTGTGAAACGCATATGGAGAAATTCGAACACTTCATTACTATCTGAAGTTTGTGCTGATGATGTCGTTCAAAAGAACAATGAAAGCTCCACGACCAAACCATCCAGCTCAGAGAACAAAACTCCATCAAAAAGATTTTAACTATGTCAGGCATAAAAAGAAAAAGAAAACTCTCACCAACTGTAATCAATGATGTTTAAGAACTAGTTAGTACTCAGCACTTTTGAAATAGGACATTTACCCTAAAGCCTGAAAGTCATGAGTTCGATCTTTAATGAAAGATGTAGTTGTGGATGTGTATTATCATGAAATCCTAATGTTGGAATGCGGTGAAACTATAATTTATGGACGAAACCAATCAGGTATAAGAGAACAAGTCTTGGATTTCGGTACGAAATTCACTCATTCATTTAGCTAAATAAAGTTTTGACATTATAACTGATATCAATTCATAATGATGTAAACCTTAAATCTAATTCATAATCTTAACTCCATCAACTATAAATCATAATTCTAATTGATTACATATTCGTTTCTAAACCTCATTTAATCCTAGTTTCTAGGTGGAGCATTCTTAAGGTCAATTTGGTATCACTGAAAGATCTTGCATAAATTATAGTCTCATTTTTTTTTGTTGTTGTTGTTGAATATTTCTTAACTTTTATCTTTATTTCATTAAAATTCATTGTACTTTTTTTTTGAAACTATTATTTAGGTAAAAATTCTTATAAAGAACATACATATCGATTATTGAATATTTGGTTACATGGTATTAGTGATAATCAATCACCATTGAATGAATTATATTTAGCATTAACTACAATTGGACGTAAACGAATTGTGGAACAATTACGTCGACGTATTAAAACATTAAATAAAATAAATAATAGGCATAAATGTAAACTTTATTAAAAAAGAATATATATATATATTCGTATACACTAGCACCCACCCAATCAACCACCCAATCACCTACCTACCCACCCCCACACATACCCCCACACCTACAGAGAGAGATATACACGTACATCATGTGTAAAATTTCATTTTATTGTTTTTATTATTTTTTTTATTATTACACTTTTCAATTATGTTATTTGTAACCTTCTCTGTATATCCTTCTTTATTGTGTAATCAGAGTATCTAAGCCCCCCCCCACACACACACATACGTACATAGTGTGAAATATTCATTCATCTTAAGTATAATGTTTCAATAAATGCCCCAGGGTAATCATCTCCCCATCCAATTATCTAACTCTGTTATTTATAATCATATTAGGTGTTCTGTATTTACAATGATTTCAAAAACTGTTGATTTATAGTTCTCATGTGTATTTTACTCACTTACTTACTTACTTACTTACTTACTTACACCTGTTACCCCTCATGTAGACTGAACTGGACAGTCCTTTCTATTCATCATTCTGATGTTTACTTTTAATTCTCGAAGTAGTATGTTTTTCAGCTTACCTCTTTTCTGTTTCCTTTCAAGATTCCAAGTGAGCGTTTGCTTCGTGATACAGTTTGATAAATTTCCACATTATATGTCCTATACACATCCAATATTTTTCCTTAATTTCTTTTTTATCTGGAAGCTGGATTTTGTTCTCTTTCACAATAGGCTATTACTGATGATATTCAGCCAGAAGATTTGTGGTGTATCTGAGAGAGAAAAAAAAAGACTTGAATTAAGGTTTTCGTTTTATTCTTTTTTTTTCATGTTACTTTCTATCAATCGTAATTACTCTTTTGTACACCCTTATACACATTGTGTTCTGTCAAAAGTGGGATAGGGGATCAGGTGGAGTAATACTCATATTAGAAGGATCATTAAAATATTCATTATTATTATCATCATTATTACTAGTGATCCTATATATTACAAACACATATTCAGTCATAGATACACAGTTAGTTCAGCTTGTGCTTCTCTGTTACACTTTTCGTTGCTAATTCTTTCTCTCTTGTCGAGCATTTTCCTTCGTGTTTGATTTGTGCTTATCTATTTTCAATACCACCCCCACCTTTTGTATTCCTTTTTCACATTCCTTCGTTTATTTTTTGTACAGAAGGGAAAAAAAGGAAGAATTTTAAATTGTAAACAATAAATTTGATGAGACAAAAAAACGTGGAGAAAAATTGGTCTCTAACTATTTACTTTTCGTTATATCATAAGGGTATTTTATGGATATTATAGTTATTTTAATAGTTGAGATCATGAGTCAATTGAAGCTAGACCATCATGGAAAACCTGGAAGCACTGTGCGGCCGTTCGGTCCTATTGTGGGACTATTCAGTGGCAGTGCGCATCCACGATCCCACCTTGCGATACTCGAACCCAGGACCTATCGGTCTGACGTGCTAACGCTTAACCTCTAGATCCACAAATGCTCACTAGTGACCGGCTTCTAGAGGTATTTCCTGGAGTTCTAGTGAAAAGCAGTGACCAGTGGAGTTTAACCTGGTCTGTTGTGCGATAGTAACTCATTGAAAACAATGGTGCATCTGCCGCTGAATTTCGTGGATTAGTTGAAGTTAGACATAAACACCTTTGGATGCCGGCTCAATGGTTTCACGATTAAGCGTTTGCGCGTGAGACCGATAGATCATAGTTTCGAATTTCGTAAGTCGCGATCGTGGATCCATGCTGCCATTGAGGAGTCCCACAATTGGATGAAACGTACATTCAGTGCTTCCAGGTTTCCAATAGCGGCCTAACATCAATCGATTCATGATTCTAATCAAAAACTTAAGAATCTCCACAACCCTATACTGATAAAATGAAATAAATCTGATTGTCAATATTTCTTCAGTTAAGATCATTTATTCAGAGAGAGAGAGAGAGAGAGAGAGAGAGAAACATTGATTTTGAGAAGCAAGTTCATTTCATTTGAAAATTGTTACTATGCTACTTTTATTCATTTTAGCAAATGTTTTATTTTTAATGTCTAACATATTTACATAATTCACGGAGAAACTGGTTAACAAAAATGATTAGATAACCTTATCAATATCATAAAAGATAAAGATCTAAATGATTCAGGTCAAGGTTATTCATTATTGACTAATGTACCATACTATATACAAAAGATTAGATTTACACCAAGTATAACCATTACATGTGATTACATAATTATGGAATGACATTTTGTTATTAAGTTCCATCTATGAATTAAACTTATTGCTTCTTTACTGGATAAAGGAAGAGGGTTAGGTATGAGGTTAGCGACCCCATCCCGTAGAAAACTAAATCGCTAAACAACGGTAACTAGAAAAAATAATTCAAACCATTTAAACTCTGTCCTGTTATTTAGAAAGTCTTCATTTAAAAGAGTTATGACGTCTCATGATGAAATCCGTGTTCCTTTGGAAGCCACAAGGTTGATGAGCCTTCTGACAACCAGAACAACCATTCATTCAGATACTTGGAATGTTCATACAATGTGGGAGACCGGGAGAGTTATCCAAATTGCTGCATTGTAAACTAAGCTACTTGCATGTAGTTTGTATAGTAAACAATTTTAAACATTAACCTTCCATATTACAAATAGAGCATTTTCCATATGCACTAATATATTTTATTGAAGTTTTGTTCTGTGAAATGGATGGTTTGGTCGTGAAGCTTTCTTCGTTCTTCTCAGTGACACCAGCTTGTCCGATGTAGTGTTTTTCGTAGTTGGCACAATTTATTTTGTAGATGATGTTTGGTTTATCTTCTTTTGTCGTTTCATCCTTTGGTCTGCATAAAATTGATTGTAGTGATTATGTTGATTTGTGTGCAGCACCTATTCCGAAAAGTTTCAGCAGTCTCGTTGCAGTTTCTGATGTTTTTTATGTATGGTAGAGTGATCCTTTTGTTGATTTTTGAGCTGGACATAGGAACAAAAATCAAACCAATGGGAGATACAACCAAAATAAAGGAGTAAACAATGACAGGTTTAATGTTATTAGGAACCAATCAACATCGAGGTGTACAGGACAATCTGTGAACCACATGTGGAGAAATTCGAACATTTCACTTCTTTCTGAAGTTTGTGCTGATGATGTAGTTCAGGAGAACAATAAAAGCTCCACAACCAAACCATCTAGTTCACAGAACAAAACTCCATCAATATCATCCAGCTGAGCTACAAATCTCCACCAGCACTAAGATATCTACGAATACAAACAAGTAGATCTAATACAGAATCACCTTGATAGATCGGACTGTTTTGTTTTACTTATACTACTTAAACTTATGTTCATTTGTCAGTTAATCGTTCATTGAAGCGTTTTTTTAGCGAGTTAGTATTCTACGAGATGGGGTCGCTAACCCAATTTCCAACCTTCCTCCTTTATCCAGGCTTGGGACCGGCAGTAGCCCCCGGAGGGACTCCAAGCGGAGTTTTGTCAGTTAATCATCACATTTAAATCATATACGTAGCTATAAATAGTAAGCAAATAGTATAGATTAGTAGTGAGTAAACAAGTATGTTAATTATTATGATGAGAATAATAAAATAACAAAAGATTTAGTCAATAGTTCAAAATAGGTAGTAGGTGAAACACGAATAACTAGATCTTAAAATTAGAATCACATAACTTTTGATTTCTACTCATATTAGTAGCCAAGTAACAAATTGGTAGTCAGAATACTGACTTGTATGACCTTGTTCCTGTGCTTAATTAATGAGCACCATCCATCTCTGCTTATAATGCTTGTCACGTAAGAAAATATCGATGCAACCCGAACAGGGTGCATATATGCTAATAAAAGACTGATCAATTTGCAATCTTAAACAAGATTGAAGGAAACAACAAAAGTGAATCTAATGTAAACTATTCACCACTTCTATAATTATCATATAATTCATCTTATTTGTCTCCAGAATTCATTTAATTTCTGACTTATCCTCCTCCTGCTCCTCCTCTTGTTGTTGTTGAATTGCATCTTCCAATGATCTAAAACCTCTTCTTACACAGTTATTGTTCTTCTAATTTCTTCTATCATCAATATCGATTTGTTTATATCTTAATATTACACTTTAATACATATGTCAGTGTTTGTTAACAACAAATGAGAGGTCATTCTGTTTCAATTACTATTCTGTGCTTTATTGAAATTGGTAGAAAAAAGCCAACAAAAGTCACATATATCAACAACCAGTTAATGAGTTATGATATAGTTCTAATAATTCAATTCTTATTGAAGGGTGTCCTGTCGATGCTATTCAAAGAGATAATGGAAGCTTCTTAATTAAGCGATTCACAATTTAAAGGACGAAACATCCTCAACAACAACAACAAACAAACAAACAATTCTTCATAAATAGCCAATGGTATATGAGCTGAACGACCTTGTTAATTCTCAAATCTGATTGGATAAATTTATCAAGTCAAATGAATTCATACAATCTATGAATTTCGATTATAAAGTTAGTTACCAGGCACAATGATTAATCTTATTGATACATTGAATCCTTTCTTATCATCATAGATTTCATTGAATAACATGAGTATATCAGGAATCTTCATTATATTTACTGTATTTCTAATTTATGGTTATAAAGCGGAGGATTGTGGAAGTAAGTTCCAAGTAATTTGATTGATTTTGAACGGATTATACTTGGATAATCATTAAGATTCTAGAAATACTTTATAATTGTTTCATTCTTGTATGTGACTCTATAACTGGATCCATTCGTAAGCTAAAATCTTAAGAATAAGATGTTATGTTCTAAGATGAAGCAGCTATAATACAGTACACTCTAGCCTCCAATGATTAACCAACAATGTAAAGAATTAATGATTAATCACTTTTCTTCTATTTGAAGTTTGTGCTGATGATGTCGTTTAGAAGAATGATGAAAGCTTCACGATTAAACCATCCAGCTCAGAGAATAAAAAATACTCCATCAAAATCATTCAACTGAGCTACAAATCTCTTCCACTTTTCCTGTTAATTTAACTTTCTTTAGGCATCACTTCAAAGTTCAATTACATTCATAAGTTTTAGGTCCATTCAAATAAGTAACTAGGACAAAGACTGGTCAACTCAGTTAGTCAGTAACTGTTTGACTTTCAATATCAATTCTCAAGAGAGCTTTAGAATATCTATCTCATAAAGTTAATCAGTAGGTTATATATGACTATTCTTGTTAGTAACTTGAATAGTTCACTGGTTGAAATCATGAGTCAATTGAAGCTAGACCACCTTGGAAGACCTGGAAGCACTGGACAGCCGTTTCGCCCTAGAATAGGACTCCTCAGTGGCAGTGCACATCCACGATTCCGCCACCCTTCAGCGAGATTCGAACCCAGGACCTATCAGTCTCGCGCCAGGCGCTTAACCAACTAGACCACTGAGCCGGCATCCAAAAGTGTTATTGTCTAGCTTCAACCAATCCACGAAGTTGCGCAGATAGCGGGATCGTGGATGCGCACTGCCACTGAGGAGTCCCATCTAGGACGAAACGGCCTTCCAGTGCTTCCAGGTTTTCCAAGGTGGTCTAGCTTCAATTGATTCATGATTTCAACCAGTGAAATTTCAAAATTTCTCCACACAACCCCTTCTGATAGTAACTTGAATAGTTGATCAGAATTTGTTGATTAGAAGAGATTGATAAATTGCAATCCTAAACATCAACGAAAAGATTCAAGTAAAACTTCACTCCATTGCATAAGCAAGTGGTTATCAGGACTTAGTGGCTAAGTGGATAATTTGATGGCGTTTGAAGCGAACGGTACTGGATTCGAGTCTCAGAGTGAACATCAACTCTGAGATGTTGGTACATCCTAGTTGACGAGTCCCAATTAGGACGAAACGCGCGTCAAACTGGATTCCACTGCTAGCCACTATTAATCTTTGCTTAGAAGATAATTGTTACAGAATTCCCTAGTTAATATCAATCTATAGTAAGAATAATCTTTGAATCGATCCAATCTATTGAAATTACTTGATTAAACTATTCAAGTCTGTCTAAATTATAGTAGCAATCTATCTATCTATATGTGTGTGTGTGATTTACATAACTAATAAGGTTAATTCATTTGTTCAAATAACGTCACTGAGAAGAAAGTATAATGTTTCCTTAGAAGAGATACGTACTTGTTTCAAGGAAATCGATGAAATGTAAGTGTGCGTCGTCATAGTGAAGAGTGAAAAAGAAAAGTATGACAAATCGATACGATGATGTTCCAAGATATGAATATGGTAACTAAAAATATAGTTGACTGAGTAATAAAGTAGCAAACACATATAGGTTCATGAGAGTAAAGAGTATTATGAACTGAAATCAGTCAGTTAAACATTAAATCAGAAATTTAACGAAAATGATATTGATGTAATTAAACTATGGATTGGAAGGTAAGGATCCGATAAAATATAGGCAATATTATCATAGCAACTACTTGATTGAAACACTAATTCTTTTTGAGTACATGATTCTGACATGGGCTTCTATAGTCCTTTGAGTCACTATTTTGATATTCTACAATATTCCCTTACATGTTAAACTTAAGATGGTGGGGAACATTTGTGTCACAAATGGATGACTGTGGTAAAATCTCATTGACTGAGTTAGATAGTTCAGATATAAAGATTTTATTCTTCTTCTGAACAACATCATCCCATCCCCGTTGCCAGTTGTTATATCTCGAAGATTGTTTTCTTGATATACCACGTATAACTGAGCACTAGAATGCCAAAACCCTTCCAAGTAGCAAAGAGAAGGCAGAAGACTAATGAAAGGAATGTTATTCCAAACAGTGTCAATTATGGGTACAAATTATCAGGTATTTATAGCTTTTAGTAAGAACGAAATCATCATTACAGTCCTCTAATCCGCATATAGGGGGTTATTAGCATTGTTCAATCGGGAAGCTACACGTAGGAAATCTAGAATATTCTTTCGGCTCCTTCTGAGCCTCTTACAGCTTCCTCCAGTTCAGCCGTGGTCCGTCGTCACAGTTATTGATGCGCTTTAATTTGTTATTTTCTGCATATTTTGTTTTGATTATTCGTTCAATGTTGATTCTATATTTGTGCATGATTTTAATAAATTGGATCAGTTTTGATGGTCAATCAGTTTTGAATGCTTTCAGAAGTATGAAGGCAGTTATGTTTATTGATTATTATTTGATGTCGGTGTCAAGCTGCTAAACACTCACTGATCTTCTTCGTATTCCCTTCATTCAAACTGCACTCGTTTACCCATTCGAAATGATATTCACAATTGTCCACGTGGATCGATGTATGTAAAGATAAATTATAGCAATTTAATAATCGAATTTATGAGTTAATTGAAGCTTGACTATCATGGAAAACTTAGAAGCACTGGATGGCCGTTTCATCATAGTATGAGACTCCTCAGAAGTGCACATCTACCATCCTGCCACGCGGGATTCGAACCCAGCACCCATCAGTCTCGCGCGCGAACGCTTAACCTTTAGACCACTAAGCTGGCTAGTATCCAACAGTGTTAATATCTAACTTCAAGGACCGATAAATCCTGGTTTCTAATCTTGCGAGGCGAGATCGTGGATGTGCACTGTTGAGAAGTCTCATACTAGAATGGAATGGCCGTTCAGTGCTTCCAGGTTTTCCAGGGTTGTCTAGCTTTAATCGACTCATGAATTCAACTATTAAAAATTACTACGATCTCGATAAAACCCTTTTTTTCTGATAATCATTACTGTTAAGTCTGAATTATTTCTTACTTAACTTTTAACATAATACAAGCCACGGAATAGGATAAGTGTCCATGAATTTGTGTGTAATATTGAGCATTTTTTCATTTATTTAATAAGGAGTGGTTATTGTACAGATGTCCCATATTGTACTCAGGGTGCTGGGTACCTGTGTAGCTGCACCACAGCATTCAGATGTACTATTTTAATTGTAGCGTTGAAGCCTATATGGTGTCTGATTCTCTTGTGAAGCGGGGTTAAGGCGTATTACTCGGGTTATAAAGTTTAAGTCTGTATGGTGTCGGGTTCATTTGGAAACGGGATTGAGCTGTACTATTCGTGTTGTAAATTTTAAGCTTGCATAGCGTCTGGCTTCCCTTCAAGTAGGATTGAGCTGTACTGCTCGGGTTATATCTGGACGGTGTCTGGCTCTCCTGTTAAATGGGGTTGAGCTGTACTTTTTGGGTTGTCACGTGAAAGTCTGGATGGTATCCGATTCTCGTAAAAACCAATGCAAAAGTACCTGTTGGGGACGTTAGATCCTCAGAACTCACTTGGGAAATTTGTAATTTTATTTAGAAAATCTGAATTTCTTTGTTTTCGCGACAAAAGTGCTCTTTTCACCTTCATGTCGTATTTCCCACTTGGAAGAATTTTAAATGCTATTGGTCCGTTGTGTCTTTTAGTATACTATTTTGTTACACTTCCTAGGGACAATTTTATGCTGTATATATAGGTTTGATTTGTGCCTGTATTGATTGATCATACTTCTGGCTTTTGTGGAATATACTTCCCGATTTCAAGCTTCGACTTCTTCCTCTAGTTAGCGGGGCTGGGACGCATCAGAATATTTAGCTTATTGGTCTTTGGTTGTCGAATCTTTGTTCTCGTTCGTAAATTAAGTGAACTCGTAACCACTTCAACCCTAGCATTACCCTAGCCCATAAGGACTTTATTATATATCTATACAATAATCTCTGTAAAAACAAAACCCCTTTGTGAAAAGAATTTATTATTCATTAAATAAATTATTCATTTATCATTTGAAAATAATTTTTCACATAACATGACTATTCTATAAAGTTAAATAAAATACCATAGTAACTATCATTATTGTTGTTGCTATGTAATGTCATGTAATGTAATTCATAAGACCCTATAGTTGTTATACAATTTCGTTTTATATTATGATAGAAGAATAGAATTTGGAAATTATTCATTCTCTCAGTTTTGTCTTCTTTTGTTCTTTTTCCCCTTCTTCTTCTTCTTCTTCTTCTTCTCTTCCTTCTTTTTATTTTTTTTAATGGCTTCATGGTCACCTGTATACCTACGACTGAATCACAAGACAAGATTATAATGTAACTAAATGGGATCACTTGTAAATGATAAACTAGATCTTTAATCATAATACTAATATGATTCTATTAAAATCATGAAGTGATTTAAGTTAGATAACCATAGAAAGCTCGGAAATTGTGAACAGATGTTTCATTCCAGGATAAGACTCTTCAGTAGTGCATATCCATGACTATATAACTGTGAATTGAAGTAAGGATTTTAAGTCTTGTACGCAAGTGCTCTCTCTTTCTGTCTACACTATTAAAATGGCATTCAGTGATATGTAGATATAACAACACTGAGTGGTCATCTTCCATTGTCTTCGGTGGGTAGCCTTTCTTACAACCGATACGGTTTATCTCAATTAGTCAAGGTTCATCACTATAAATCCGGAGATCGCCTCTTGAAGCTAGCCAATTGATCTAAAGTAATCAGTAAGAACAACTAGTAACCAGATGTTATCAGTAATTTAATTGGCTCTATTTACTATTAGAACATTTATTAAAACTTCAGTATAACCACATTCTTTGATTGATAATTCAAAGCATCTGACTAATAT